TGTAGGAATGAAAGAAGAAGAAATGGGGGGGAAAAAATTAAAAATAAAAAGGAGAAAGAAAGGATATCCCGAAATGAACAACAAACGAAATATGAAATAATCAGGTAATGAAAAGCGGTTTGCCGAAGCTGAACAAACTGGGTACAGCGTTTGCTCCTCCATGTCTTGTTGAAAACCCAACCATGCAGCTAGCTAGCTAACTAACTAGGTAGACCGTGCAGCGACATCTTGGGCATCTATGCCCAAACTGTATGGACCTTGCAATCGCCACAATTAAATCCACCTACTGAAAGTTGAAAGCTCAAATCCCCTTTCTTGAGGCAGAGGGTCGCCTGTACATCGACAAGAACTTGGAAGAATGTGTGCCCCTCCTTGTCATTTATGTGAGGGTGGACGGTCAGGTCGATCTGAGACAGATCGAGTTGGATATAGGCGAGGCATTTTGATTGATTCGGGTTGAGCAATTCGGGCTTCGAGCGTGGGCTTGGGTCGTCGACTGAGTAGATAGCAATCGGTTTGATCAACGGCATGTTGTGCTGATGCAGAAGCTCGAATCCCCAGGAGTACTGCTCAACCGCCTGGTACTGGTTATTCTTCTTGAATATCCAAGTAATTGATGCCTTTTCCTTGCTGTACATCAGTTTCAATCGCTCCATTATGGGTCGCTCCCGGCCGCCCTTCTTAAGGAATGGCATAAAGTCGTCATGATATATTCCATAAGTGCGGGCACCATTCACCATGGTGTACGACACATCAAAAACACCTAGAAGGGCCGACCCGTAGGCCGTCGCAATGGCTGGGTTCTCCGGGACGGTTAGCTGCACCTTTCGCTGCTCAAACAAGGTCTTGAACTGGCTATTGGCATAAGGAGAGGCAGCGAACCCTCCAGTGATAAACAAGTGGGAGACTTGATGGCCTCCATATTTTCGACACATGATATCGACCTGGTCAAGTTGGTGGCTCATTATCTGGATTGAACTTTCAATGGTCGGCCGAAAGAACTTTTCCATATCGCTGAGAGAAAGTAATATCTCTTGAGTTTGAGCGTCATAGTGGTCCGAAACCACATTCATGTTGAAGTTCAGCCTACGGATTCCCCCGGTGCCATCAAAGGTTTCTTTGAGTTCCGTGAACTGGGCCATGAATTGGCTCGCCATACCACCATTGCGATTGAATTCTTTAACAAACGCTTCCTTAAATCTTTTATGCATCTTTTGAAGGAAGAGGAAGTCGACCTGGATTGCACCACCGATTTGGCCTGCGGAATGTGTCAAGAGAAGTTGACTGGCACAAGTCGAAGCAGGCAGTACATACCGCAGGATTTGCTCAATGGTTCCAGTACCCAAGCTGGGCCTTTGGACACCACAAGATAACAGACTGAATCCTAGGGCAATTGTCAGGCGAACGACTTGGATGCCTCTGCTAGGGAGGTGCTCACAATGGTGCATCCGCCTATATCGCAGATGCAGAAAATTTCGCCGATCTGTTGGTCCAGGATTCCCTCGTCAGCAAGTTCAGACGCACAGGATCCCTCGCAGTCCTTCACTAACCTGAAGCATATCGCTTTTCTGCTCTAACACATAGCGGGCCGACGCATCCGACTCGGAGCTGAGACACACATTTTCCGAGCCTACAGTGTCGAATCCTGCTTGGGTAATGGCCGTCCGCATGGCCATATGAGCATCCTCTTCCCAGGTCACTGGGGTGGAAAAATGGAATTGTACAAGCGTCTCTTTGGTAGGAAGAGAAAGAGACGTCAATCGGTCTTGAATGAAACGACGTATCCGTCCGAGAAAATCCCCTACCATGTCCACGGCGGTCTTACCCGGCGCTTCCATTAGCAGATTCTGATAGGTCAAGTTCCTGAGAAGCTCGTCCTGAGGCTCAGTAGGGCGGCCTTTAGGGTCTAATAACAACTTAAACCATGCGTAAGTTGGGGGGTAGGCGTAGGCACGCCAGCCCCACAGAGGCTCGCTTCCCGGGTAGCTTATGCTAGTCGGGACCTTGAGAGAGTCTTTTTCAGGCCAATTTTGAATGACTAGAAACTCGGGTTCTTCTCCGGGTATGATTTGAGCTACAACGACGCCTGGAATCATTCAGTTCCTACACGAAGCTCCTGGTTCAAAAGCAGACACTCACCAGTGAACGTCATACCAACATCCACACCTACGATGATCTTGTTGGTGTATTGAGCCATATTCAGATTCTACAAGCAGAGGCGCACAGTAGTGGTTACAGAAGATGAGGTAATGGGTCAATGACAGACAGGTTGGATGAACGATGGTTAAAGTAAGCTGCTAACAAATGGAGACAGGGGAGTTAGCGCGAAAAAAAAAAAGACGAGGAACTTGGGAATGGGAATGGGAATGGGGTATTTATCACCGTTTGTTGGCCCCTCCCAATAGTGGCTCTCTTGCGGCTGGCCATGCTCGATGGTTTGGGTCTCCAGGCCATGGCGTTTTGGAATCCCGCCACCTCCGGCCTGGCGGCCAGCGAGCTGATAGGCCCAAGCAGGTTGCAATGTCTCGGAAGGTTTTTCATCGCTTGAGACGCCACGAGATATCATAGGCCGGAGTGCTCGTACAGTCCGTTTAGAAACAGGTTAGTAGGTAAGGCGGGTTAGAAGAGGAGAGCAAGAGGAATGGAAGAAAGACAGGACAAAGAAGCTCCCTTTGCCCCGTTTACGAACAACGACTTTGCCCATTGAGACCAGCTCTTTCATGGCGGTTGTTTGTTTCAAAATCTCTTAAGTACCACCCTTCTTCCTTCCTAGGGTTCGAATTTCCTTCTCTCATCACTCAGCTCTTGGGAAAGAGAATCCCTTCAAGTTCGAAATTCATCATCGTCCCAGCGTAATGGGGAAAGGAAAGGAAGTAAAGGTGAGCATTTCAACCTCGAAAGTTCTGTATTCGTCAGCTGGTCTCTGAATTCTCCCACTCCTCATTGAAGGAACCATCCTCCAAAGCACCCTCGCCGTCCCATGTCCACGAAGACACGGACTTGGCTCCAACCCTAGAAGAGTCAGGGGGTAATAAAGATATCGATGCACTCCAGGTCAAGATCGATCATCTCCAGGCTGAAGTCGAGGAGTTGAAGAAGGACCGTCGAGAAAAATGGTCGTGGGCAGGCTCCGGGGGACGCGGCTGGCAAAGACCCACCATCGAATATGGAGATGCGTTTACCAAGCTTTTCATCGAGGCTAAAATATGGGCCGACCATTACGTGAAAAGGGATACGGCTGCGCTGGCAGAATTCTCTTTTAGTGAGAAACAAAGTATTCTTCAGAGCCTGGATGGCTATTGCGTACAGGATTTGGACTGGGATACTCTTATAGGGTCTCTGCCGTATCCAATCCGTACCCAAGTGCCCCATGCCATCGGCCGAACGATGCTCGTAAAGGACATAGTCGATAAATTCTTCGAGAATCCCTTTTGGTATTTTGAGGGAAAGACGGACCCGATAGACGTTGAGCCTCGAACACAGAGCTCGCTGTCATTTGCAAAACACCTGCAGCATCTATATGAGCAATTCCTGATCGGTGAGGCCACCAATCCCTTCACTCACCCAGGTTCAATGACCGCCTCGTCTCACCACTGACTTGTTATTGAATAGTGAATCCCAAATCTGCCAGCCTTTGGAAGACCGAGACGGTTCGTCTTGCGAACTCCGTCAATGATAACCAGGCCAATAACACTGAGATGGGCCGGCATACAAAGAGTCGACGTGAGGGCTTGGCTCGATCATTCGCTTGCGCCATGCTGAAACACCCACCATTCCAAATGCTACTTGAAAACTGTGAAGATACCGCTGTTCGGGAGGCAAAGCTTGTCAAATTCTACGAGAGAGCTGAGCGGTTGGCTATCAGCCTCGGCTCTTCTCATGGTATCTGCACGTATCGAACCCTTACAAAGTTGGCCTCGCCCTTGTTCTGGCGAGGCGATCTATCCGTGACTGCAGAGTACCGTCATGTTCTTATGCCGCACCAGCCTAGACTGGACGGGCATCGAATTCTGCTCATCTTGCAGCCTGCAGTGTCACGCATTGGAGCGGCAGTCCCTGACGGTCACTTAGAATCATGGACTCAAGCTGTCGCAGTGATTGAGGATGGCGACTGTACAGAAGAAGTGTATCACGAGTTGCAACAAGAACGGGAAGCTGAGGCGCATGAAGTCTACAGAGAGAGGCAGGAAACACTGGCGAAGCACCGGGCTGAATGGGAACGAGAACGGCAGGAGAAGCAAAAAGAGGGCAAAAGAGTGGAGGAAGAGACACAGAGAGAAGACGAGGGAAAGATTATAGAAGGAAGCCCAGTGAAGCAAGAGAATGACGAAGAAGCAGATGAAGATATAGAAAGACCGGCACCCAAACGAGCACGCAGGACAAGAGGGGCAACAGGGGCAACAGGGGCAACAGGGAAGAAGGCAGGCCAGCAGATGAAAGAGGAGAAAGGGGACGCGAAGAAGAAAACAAGAGGGCGTCGGGTAAAGAGAGGAAAGACGACCAAATGAGTCTCATTCAGTACGTAGGATACTTGGTAAGATGTGTTGCGCATTCTGCTTCCTAGTTCTGTTACTTCTTCGCGATGGTTATTGTAGTTATTGTTATCTTTCTCTTACGGTATAGACTCTGTTCTGCGTTTATCCAGTCCACTGTCGCCTGTATTTTAACTGCAATATTTCTTTCACTTCCGGAAAGCGAAGTGAAAAAAAAGAATGGGACGAGCCGGGCTTGAACCGGCCACCTCCAGATCTTCAGTCTGACGCGCTCCCAGATGCGCCATCGTCCCTTGTTCTTGTTTAGACTGGCTCATTTTAAACTATATAACGCAAACAATTTTATGATAGGTCCAACACACGTGCATCTAGATCACGTGCAGTTATCTGACTGACTACTTATGGAGTACATGGAGTCACTCGTAAAAGGAAGAGAGTCCACGGAGTGCCAGAAGATGGATTGGTACTACACAAAATTGGTAATCGCACGTGTAACCAGATGCAAGAGCAAGTACCACTGACATGATACATCTCGTGATGCCATTATTTTCCCAGCTATGTATAGAATTACCCTGGTACATCCATCTATGCTCCATCCCCCTGTTGTTGCTGTTGCTGCTTCCATTGGTGAGCTCTTTGCAGCAGCTTCGACAGATTCGCCGCCGACTGGTCGTCTGCTGGGAATACGTAATCCATGTACTCCTCGTACCGATCGTCGTCCAACTTGCGCCGCTTCTTGACTCGCCGGGGCATCTGTTTCTCGATCTTGTCGATGTCTTCTGGTGAACCGTGCGTGTGCTCGAATGACCGCCAAGCATTGAGCAATTCCACGCGCTGTGTCATGGTTAGTCAGGGATATGTTAGAAAAGGAATGTCGAGTACAGCTTACCTCTTCCTTGAGCTCCTTCTCCTTGAACACCTTGTGAGCTCGTTCGAAAACGGCCCGAGCACGACGCTTGGCATCCTCGCTGATCGGCCGCTCCTCTTCCTCCTCCTCTTCCTCTTCTTCCTCGTCGGGGACGTTGATCTCGAAGCGGGCGTAGTTAATCCACACCTTGACGTGATCTGTCTTCTCCAGCAGACGCTCGTAGAGCTGGCGGACCCGGTCGTATTCGCCTTCGTACTCCTCAAAGTCAATGTACGACTTCCACACCAACTCGGGCATATCGAGTGTCGGCTGGTCAATTCCAAGCTCGTAGATGGCTCGTGCACGGTCGGTGTCGTCCAGCCCGCGCTCCAATTCGGCATACTTGATCCATGACTGGCTGTTGGAAGGATTCCACTCGATCTGCTTTTCGAACAGTGTCCGGCACCGCACGAACTCGAACAGCTGGCGCTCTAGATCAATGTATCCCCGGAAGAGTTTATCCTTCGGGCACATGCCGATGGCCTGGCCAAGCGTCTTACGAGCGGCTTGGAGATTCATCTGACGGATCTCAAACTGCGCCTTCAGGAGCCAGATCTTGGCAAAGGTGAACTTTTTGTGGGGAATCAACTTGAGACACTCGTTGTAGATTTGGCGCGCACGCTCGGCGTCCTTGGCTTCCATTTCCTCCCAAATGGCGTAGAATACCCACAGGTAGATATACCGTCTCCAGTGCCGCTTCTCCTGCGATGGTGGTATCTGAGCGATTGCGCGTTCGTAGATGTCGCGTACTCGGTCGGGGTCACCCGAGGTTTCCTCGAGCCGGGCAAAGTCGAACCATATGTCGTAGTTCCGCGAGTTCTCTTTCAGTTGCTCCTCGTACTGGACTCTGCGTTTTGAGAGAATAACATCCTCAACGCCTTCCCGGTCACCATATTGTTTCTCGAATGTTGTATAGGACTTGTGAAGGGCCGTGGACTTTGAGCGAGGAAGTCGGTCTAAGGCATACTTGTAAATCGCCCGGGCACGTTCGTACTCCTTCAACTTCGCCTCGAACTTGGCATAGCCGATGAAGAGCTTCTCGTCCATGAAATCCTCTCCCAGAGTCTCAATCGCCATTCCATACACCTCCCGCACGAGATCGCTCGTTCCATACTCCTCTTCAAACCGAGCCCACTTGATCCAATTGCGTGGTTCAGGGTGAACAATGGTGAACCGCTGGAAGATCGCGCGCGCCCTCTCGAACTCATTGTACCGCTTTTCCAGCTTGATATAGGCGCTCCAAGCTCCCTCTTCCGGCTCCCAAGACATCCACCGCTCAAAGACCTGTCGTGTACCCGCAATGTTGCCCAGTGTCTCCTCCATGTAGACATACTTGTACCACAGCTTATCCACCCGAGGCAAGATCGTCACCGCACGGTCGAGCAAGTTCCTGGCATGATTGATGTTGCGATTCCGCATCTCCGACTCGATGTACCGAATCCACAGAACCACCGAGGTCGGGCTGACGTCCAGCGCCCGTTCAAAGATTGAACGCGCCCGGCGGAACTCCTTTTGCTCCAGCTCCCATGCCGCATAGCGCATCCAGTTGTTCATGTTAATTCGGTTCCGACGCACATAGTCTTCGAACTCTTTTCGCTTGCGGCCCTGGTATTCGTGCAGTTCTTCCAGGTCGGCAAAGCGCTGCGTCGGCGCCTGCAATGCGGGCTCCTGCCGGTCCACGGCCTCGCGAAGCAGCTGCTCCGCCGAGATCTGGACTGGCGCCGCAGCCTTGTTCTTGACCCTGGGAGGGCCGCGTGACGACTCCATCGTGGTGTAGTTTATGCGACGATGACCGATGGGTAAGTGAGGTATAGATCAAACTGGACAAGGTCTCCAAGAGTGCTGGCGTGCGCGCGCGGCTGAACTAGATATGGCTCGATTGATAACACGTCCAAAGACCCCGAACCAATGGCGTTGTGCTGGCTACCGGGCGGTAGTCGAGGTTGATGCTGATTCAAGATTCCGAATGAATGCTGCGATCCAAAGTCGGACAAGCTGCGGTGTTGGTCTGTTGCGCCACCCCAAACCACCGCGTTGCTGACTCAGCCGAGACATGCAAAGCCCAGTCCGTGTGGCGGCGAAACCAAACCTCGCACTTCACCTGCATCTCATCTACGCAGCTTTGCTTTCATTTTGCGGACCTACACAGCTTGTCTGCTGGTCACGCTGCTGTTTGCCCATCATGTCAAATGCGGAGGAGCTGTTGAGGGATTTCGAGGAGGACGACGAGGATCTTCAGGCTGGCGATGGCCTCGAAGAGGAAGCTGTCGATGAGGAGCAGCTGGCACAAGCTCCTGAGGTTACTAACGAGTTTGACGTCGCCTTGTCGACCGCCGACGAACTGACCCGTCTACACAAAGTGCTGCGCGATCACTACTCTATACGGTTTCCTGAGCTCGAGACGCTCGTGACTACTCCGATCGACTATGCGAAAACTGTCGCTATCCTAAAAAATGGCCCGCTCAACGATATTAAAGCTCTGTCAACCTCGTCAGATAACATGGTTGGCGTGCCACTGAGGTCAATTTTGGATGGGCCATCCCTGATGGTTGTGGCCGTGGAGGGTACCACCACTCGAGGCCGGGAGATGACCGAGGCCGAACTCAAGACCGTGATGGATACATGCGAACGGATTCTCAAGCTCGATCGCGAACGGACGGCGCTTACAGAGAGCATTCAGTCCCGGATGAGCCAGATCGCTCCCAACTTGGCGGCCTTGATCGGACCGGAGACAGCGGCTCAGTTCTTGAACCAGACCGGAGGTCTGCTCGAGCTAGCGAAGATTCCTGCGTGCAACCTAGCTGCACAGGGCTCGAAGCGATCGGAAGGACTGGGATTCGCTACAAATATTGGTATTCGGTCTCAGGGGTTCCTCTACAACTCGCCAATTATACAAGGTGTCCCGAACGATCTCAAGCGGCAGGCCATTCGCATCGTCTCCGCCAAGATGGTCCTTGCTACGCGAGCAGATGTATCCAAGTACAGTCCTGACGGATCTTTGGGTGAAGAACTGAAGCAGCAGTGTTTCCAGCGTCTGGAGAAACTTACGGAACCCGCGCCGAACTCGGGCGTAAAGGCGCTCCCCGCTCCGGACGACAAGCCGTCCCGTAAGCGAGGTGGACGACGGGCGAGAAAGGCCAAGGAAGCTGTCGCCATGACGGAACTTCGTAAGGCCCAGAACCGGGTTGCCTTTGGTAGGGAGGAAGCAGAAGTTGGATATGGCACCGGAGAGGGAACGGTCGGACTGGGCATGCTTGGCCAACAAAACGATGGACGGATCCGCGCGACTCAGATCGACCAGAGAACCCGGGCGAAGCTTAGTAAGAACAACAAGGGATGGGGTACCGCAACTCCCGTCAGTGGTACCTCTACATCTCTCCGTGCATTCGGCTCCAATGCTAGTGGGACAGCCAGTGTGCTTCAGGCGAAGGGGCTGCGAACCTCTGGAGTTGGCACCTCGCTGGGAGGATCAGCCGGTACTGCCAGTACCATTGCCTTCACGCCTGTGCAAGGGTTAGAGCTGGTGGACCCTAAGGTGCAAGCGGAATTGAGTCGGAAACGCAAGGCCGAGGAGGATCGGTGGTTCAAGTCTGGCACATTCACGCAGGTTGGTGGCCAGAGCAGCACGGCGCCTCAAGGGGGGAATGGAGGCTTCAAGGTTCCGGCATTGCCTCCGAAGAAGAAGGTCGATACCGGCGAGGGCAGAATGGCACCGCCACCGCCGCCGGTGAAGCAGTAAAGGGAGATCTGGTGTTTTCAAGGTTACGAGCATTCATAAGGCGTTATAACGTGGGATTTGCATGATACCATCAAGAACTGTATGATAGGATTAAATAAAAACACCAGTGCTTAATTATGGTTTAGCCTGTTCAATGACCAATGGACGATACTATTGTGCAAGGGTGCCGGGTTCCGGGTTCCATGCGAACCTCTGGACAGCTAGCCATGGTTCCAGACGGGATGGTGAAATTTCTCAGGCTGGGGATAGGCAAAGCCCAGCCCACTCACCCTGATGGCGCAAGCCCGGAAGATATGTCGTGCTATTGTCCTGAATGTGACAATAACGGGCAAAGAACTCAAATTCTGCTGGGGATCGCGCCGAAAAGTTGTTTCATAGTAGAACTTTTCTTTATCCTCCATTTGGCACACCAGCTGACCACCATCCCCTAGTACTTTGTAGCTGTTGTCCCTGGGCAACAAGTTACAGAGCCCTAACCAACCACCGGGGATGTTGTAGTGCAAGCCAGTTGCATGTCGCACCCGGCCATCCGATGATAAGCATAAAATTAGTAGCCGATGATCATCCAGGCACCCGGGCTCTCAAAATTTGATCATCCAACGAGCAGTGCAACATTCCGGCTGACCGACTCAAGTGTCGGCATATTGCGTGCTTTGAGGGTGATCTGATCGATTGTGGTCTTCATCGAGTGGAATCTGGATCGGGTGGATCTGTATGAGCAGTTTCTCTATTGTCGGTTTTCATTTCTTCCTGTTTTCTTTTAAATGGCGTCGTTCATCCCATCATTCTTGTTTTCATTTTTTTCTTCAATTTGTCTTCCCGCTTTTATATTATTTGCAATTATTGTCACTCTTTAGAATCACCTTCCACCCTTATACATACATATACACACCTATACCCAACCCCATAATACTATATTACACTACTACTACCATAGACCATCAACTCTAGACATTACCAGAACTAGACCAACAATGTCCCCCAGCATAACCTCACCACGTCCCTCCACCCCCGAAACCCAACACCAACAGCTTAAACCACCACCATCCACCAACATCCTCCTCAACCACCACTCTCTCCTAACCACCACTCCGGAAGCCTTCAAATTCCACGCCGCCGCCTCCCTCCAACTCCGCCTCAACCCAACAATCCCCAATAATCCATCCATAATACCGCCATCAGACACCAACCTCATTATTTCCCCCTACAACACCCCCCATCACCTTCTTGACCTCCAGACCCTCGACCCAGCCACCCAACTCCTCGCCAAAGCCCTGACCCTATTCCACCCCATCCGCCCCGACTACGCCACCGCGCCCTACACCGAGTCCTTCAACTGGGACAGTGTCTTTGCGTTCCTGCGAAATCAGGCGAAAAGTGAAGGGTATACTTGGGGTAGGAGGCACGAAAATATATTCTATGTGGTGGTGTTTCGGTCGACATTGAAGGCCGATGCAGATGGGGAGAAGTTGCATGTGTTGGATGAGATGTCGTTACGAGAGGCGGTGGCGGGGGGTGGGTTGCTGAAGTATTGGTTTGGGAATGTAGATGGGGAGAGGAGGGGGTTGGCTACTTGTGAGTTCTTACCTTCGTTCTTTCTGAGTTCGATGCTATGTTTGTGGGTGAGGCTGGGTGTGCTAATAAGGCATGAATGATAGGTGTATGGCGCAGTCGAGAAGATGCCAGGAAAGGAGGGTTGGGACCGTGGCATCGACGAGCACGTGGGGCGGCGAGGGAAATGTATGAACGAATTGAGTTTACGACGTTGAAGTTAGTGGTGGGGGAGGATGAGGAAGGGAATTGGGGATGGGAGTTTGGGGAGTGGGTGGATGAATAACTGATTGATTGACTGATTGATTTATCCGGATGTGATTTAATGCTGCATGTTGTGTAGAGTTATACCCTTCATTTCCAGCAATCCAATAATATGAATCCATTGCAACATCGCTTGCAGCATGCTGATCGGAAAACAATACTGAATCAAGAGGGGACAGCCAAAAGGGCAGCATTGCCCGCCTAGTGGAGTCCCCACCCGCACATTGTGGCGTTTCCAGAAGGGTATCATTCCACGCGGAGGTGGGGTGTTCCACTGGAATTGTTCGCCAATCTCCAATCTGCTATACTAAGTTACTAACAACCCCCATTCCAAACTGCAGCCGATCGACTTGTCAACAGTCATGGCTCTGCTGCATGGAACAATCTTCAAACGCGGGGCAGACCCAATTCTCCAAGTTTTGGATACGTCACGACATATGCTCCAGATAGATATATATATCACCCTATAACCCCGGTCTGTCTCCCTCCTATCTTCAACTGAGTACTCCAATCAATATCACCACCACTGCACACAAAATGCCCGGAGTTCTCACCCAAACCCTCGCCGTCAGCGACGGGCCCCTCACCTCCGAAAACGCCGCCCTCCTACGCCCCTCCGACCCCAATCTCCCCCTCGACGAGCTCCGTGCCCGCTTCGACGCCGACGGCTACCTCTTCCTCAAACAAGTCCTCCCCCGCGAAGACGTCCTTGAAGCCCGTCGTCAATACTTCTCCTACCTTGCCCCCACCGGCGTCCTCAAGACAGACAGCGACCCCGTCCACGGCATCTTCAACCCAGACAAAACCCCCGACGACTTCCCCGGCATTGGGGCTGGCGCGGCTGCTGGTAACGGCCGGCCGGGCGGGGAGAGCGCCGCGGAGTTCGTCGATCGCGCCATCGAGGCCCACTACAAGGACTGGTATGCCGAGAAGCTGGTCCGGCATCCGGCGCTGTATGCCTTTATTGCCAAGTTCACTGGGTGGGGGGACAATACGTTGACGTTTAAGCGGACGCTGCTGAGGAATAACATCCCCGAGACGAAGCCCATTGGGGTCCATTATGACCAAATTTTTATCAGACACGGGGAGCCCACGGCTGTGACGGCTTGGGTGCCGATTGGGGATATCAAGTTGAGTGGTGGAGGGTTGATTTACTTGGAGGATAGTATGTGGTTCTCTATATCTATAATATTGGAATGGGGTTGCTGACTAGTAGGACAGGTGATGTTGTGGGCCAGAAGATTGAGAATGAGTTCACAGCCAAGGCCCTGGCAGCGGGCATGACGGAGGAAGAGGCTAAATATGCCTTCAATTCGAATATGATGTCCACGGGCATGTTGTCGGAGAATCCGGCCGAGTTTGCCAAGGAGAATGGCCGGCGTTGGTTGGTTGCGGAATACGAGGCGGGGGATGTGGTGCTGCATAAGCCTCACATGGTAAGCGGATAACCAGAGGTGTCTGGGATAGTGCTGACGAGATTTAGATTCACGCGTCGACGGTGAACAATGACCCGGATAGAGTGATTCGGTTGGCGACGGATCTGCGGTTTGCAGACTCATCCCGGCCGTATGATAAGGTGGGTTTAAATACCTGAGGGCTTTCATGAATTGGATGGAGGCTGACCATGCTGCAGAGATGGATGAACTTTTACCGATTTAATGACGGTGTTTAATTGGTCACATTGGACAATTGCAATGATTGATTTAATCTAAACATAATTCTTATGACAGACATGACATGAGCCTTCCATCTGCTTACTCCCATCCATCACTCTGCTTTCTGCTCTCATCTACTCCGTAGTAGAAATATCAAACGTACAATGACAGATCCTAAACCCTTGGTCAGCTACCACACTTCCAGTGCAGAACGATACCTACTGCTGATCATCACAGAATCCTCCTGTCCACCCACCACCCTGTTCAATGCACTAACCCTTGAATTAGTCTCTCTCCATGACACTGGACAAAAGCAACAAGCAGCCTACCGTATTCCGACAGGCAAGATTGGCAATGCTATCCCCGCCACGGATCTGGCACGAGGTGGAATTGCTCAGCATGATTTCCATGAGGGCAGCCAGGGCGGGCAGACCCAAGCCGAGGCAGGAGTAGAGGGTGACTAGGGCGGTTTTCATCGTGGTGTAGATAGCTTCTAGTTGGTGGCTAAGAACTAGTGGATGTTGGCGGTGGTGGATGTCTACCAGAGAGTGAGAGCCCCTTGCTACGATAGGCCTACTAGGTAAGTTCTGGGAGGGACCTTGGTTGACTGGCTAGCAGGATGGCTGCATTCTGTGAGGGATCTGCAGAGGGGATTACTTGGATTGAAGCTCGTGCATGGCTGCGGATGGTCCGGTGCTACACAGCACGATCTGCTATCGATATGGCGAGGGATACTCGGGATTTGACTTGTTGATCTTTCAATCTTTGGATGCCTTAATTGCTCGTGCATTATCTTCATGCCCAAAAGACTCTGTTCCTGTTTATTCGATCAAAGTCACTAGAGTTATGGCTGCTTCGACGTGGCATCCCTTGCTGACGGGGCCTTAGGTAAGTAAAGAGGGGAGGGGGCCAGATGCACCTTGAGGAATGGGTGGGAGGAATCTCATTCTCCGAAATCCGATGGTCGGCAAACCCCCAAGATTGGGGCAGAGTGGGATCCGCCGGTCGCGATGGATACCGGAAAACAATAGTCATCCTCCAGACTGCGGTTAGTGAATAGTTGACTATGGAGGAGATGGTTAGATTAGTTAGTTATTTACATGGGTTAAGTTCCGAGACCGAGGGGGATGGACCAACAGCAGCAATCAGGAGAGGCACCGTCAGCACGCCGCCCGGAAGCACAGAAAGTCCGACCGCATCAGCCCCGCCGGCCGAGCTTTGCTCCGTTTGAATCCTTCACTCTCTTCCCCTCTCATTCTCTCTCCGCCCTTTTATTTCTCTTCTTCCCCCTCTACTTTTATTCCCTTCCACTCTCCATCTTTCCTCACTTATCCTCCTCCCCCCTTTTCTCTGTAAGCCATCTCTCTCTCTCTATTTTTCTCACTCTTCTCACTGTCAGTTTGGCTGTGTCTAACCATTGCATCTCTAGTATCTTCACCACACACAACCATGGCTGCCCCCGCCCAGAAGTTCAAGGTCGCCGACATCGTACGTACCCCCCCGTCCAACCCTCTATCATGATCGCAATTCTCATTCATTGCCTCTAGTCCCTGGCTGCCTTTGGCCGCCGCGAGATCGAGCTCGCCGAGATTGAGATGCCCGGTCTCATGTCCATCCGCCGCAGATATGGTCCCGACCAGCCCCTCAAGGGTGCCCGTATTGCCGGTTGCCTGCACATGAGTATGTCGGCCTGATTATTTCTCACTCTGAAACCTCTCTAATTCCCTGCAGCCATCCAGACTGCCGTCCTCATCGAGACCCTCGTTGCCCTCGGTGCCGAGGTTACCTGGACCAGCTGCAACATCTTCTCCACCCAGGACCACGCCGCTGCCGCCATTGCCGCCGCCGGTGTCCCTGTGTAAGTTCTGCTGTTCACCGGTCTATCAGCTCGTCCTAACAATTGATAGCTTCGCCTGGAAGGGTGAGACCGAGGAGGAGTACAACTGGTGCTTGGACCAGCAGCTCTCCGCCTTCAAGGATGGCAAGAAGCTCAACCTCATCCTCGACGACGGTGGTGACCTGACCTCCCTCGTCCACGAGAAGTACCCCGAGCAGCTCAAGGACTGCTACGGTCTGTCCGAGGAGACCACCACTGGTGTCCACCACCTCTACCGCATGCTCAAGGAGGGCAAGCTCCTTGTTCCCGCCATCAACGTCAACGACTCCGTCACCAAGTCCAAGTTCGACAACCTGTACGGTTGCCGTGAGTCCCTCATCGATGGTATCAAGCGCGCTACCGATGTCATGATCGCCGGTAAGGTTGCCGTTGTCGCCGGTTACGGTGATGTCGGCAAGGGCTGTGCCGATGCTCTCCGCAGCATGGGTGCCCGCGTCCTGGTCACCGAGATCGACCCCATCAACGCCCTCCAGGCTGCCGTCCAGGGCTACCAGGTCACCACCATGGAGGAGGCTGCTCCCCAGGGTCAGATCTTCGTCACCACCACTGGTTGCCGTGACATCCTCGTTGGCCGTCACTTTGAGGTGATGCGCAACGACGCCATTGTTTGCAGTAAGTCCTCCGTTACAATTCCTCTTGTTTCATTTGCTGACGAGTTAAGACATCGGTCACTTCGACATTGAGATCGACGTTGCCTGGCTCAAGGCCAACGCCAAGTCGGTCCAGAACATCAAGCCCCAGGTTGACCGCTACACCATGGCCAACGGCCGCCACATCATCCTGTTGGCCGAGGGTCGTCTCGTCAACCTTGGCTGTGCCACCGGCCACTCTTCCTTCGTCATGTCCTGCTCTTTCTCCAACCAGGTCCTTGCCCAGATTGCTCTGTTCAAGGCCGAGGACGCCGAGTTCGGCAAGAAGTACGTCGAGTTCGGCACCACCGGCAAGAAGCCCGTCGGTGTCTACGTTCTCCCCAAGGCTCTCGATGAGCAGGTCGCTCTCCAGCACTTGGAGCACGTCAACGCCAAGCTGTCTCAGCTCACCCCCGTCCAGGCTGAGTACCTTGGCTTGGAGGTCACTGGACCTTTCAAGGCTGACCAGTAAGCCCACCCTTCGCTTGCCCCATTTTTACAAAGTGATATAACACAGGCTAACTGAAATCTAGCTACCGCTACTAAATGTCGAAATCCTACTGCTAGACTTCAACATTCACGATGTTACGACGACATATACAGGGTTCTTTATCAACATGGGGCTCAAAAGCATTGTCTTCAACGGCAAATAAAAGTGGCTGGGTATGGCTAGGGTTGCATTGGTGGTTGTGGAGTAATTGTTCAACAGAAGATACCAGATAATTGAATACATTCATCATTTCCTATTGGATCACCGCTTCCATAGTAGTCTTCCAACATACCTTTTCTCCCCTACTTACACTAAGCAATAAGTCCTTACAACTGAATCTCCTTAAACCTCCTCGCGTTCTCCTCCAACGCCACCTCCACCGGCAACCTCTCCATACTACTCGCCCCAAAGAACCCATGCACCCCCTGACACCTCTTCAACACATACTCCGCATCCTCCGGCCCCGCCAACGGCCCTCCATGACACAACACAATCACCTCCGGATTGACCTTCACCACCGCATCCCGCACCTCCTGCACCACCTTCACACACTCATCCAACGTCAACGCCGTCTGCGCTCCAATCGTCCCACTCGTCGTCAATCCCACATGCACCACAATCACATCCGCTCCCGCCCGCGCCATCATCTCCCCTTCCTTCACGTTAAACACGTACGGCGTCGTCACCAGATCCATTTCCCGTGCGATCCGAATCATCTCCACCTCTTTCTCATACCCCATCCCCGTTTCTTCGAGGTTCGCGCGGAAGTTCCCGTCGATCAGCCCGACTGTCGGGAAGTTTTGCACGCCGACGAACCCGATGTCCCGTAGTTGGCGCAGGAAGGTCCGCATGTCCCGGAAGGGGTCAGTGCCACACACGCCCGCCAGGACGGGGGTGTTTTGGATGAGGGGGAGGACTTCGTTGGACTGGTTTAATGGCAATTAGTATCTAGTTATGAGTGGTAGGTGTGGGGGGACGGGGATGGGATCACCATCTCTACGACCACGGCGTTGGCGTCAGAGTAGGGCATCATCCCTGCGAGAGAACCTCGGCCCGCCATGCGAAATCGGCCCGAGTTGTAGACGAGGATGAGGTCGGCGCCGCCTTTTTCGATGAATTTGGCGGAGAGGCCGATTCCTACATTTCATGTCATTGTTATGGTTAGTCGGTGTTGATTGGATGTATGGGAGAGATGGTAGTAAGTGAGGTTTAGTATGCTGAAGGGATGGGTACATACCGGCTCCCGCACCGATGATGATGGAACCATCGGCGATGGTCTTGCGTAGACGGGCGAGGACTTCTTGTCGGGTTGTTGGGCGGGGCATGGTGTATATTGTTTAGTATGTGTGTATGTATGTGTCTCGGTATAGGTATGAGGAGAGTAGTATATTATGTACTAAGTTGAGGACTACTAGAGAACGGAAGATGAAACCTTAAATAACCTCCGAACCATAGAAATCGGGTTTAATAAAGAGGCGAGGATATCGGGGATGTATGTCTTCTCTGATGGTGTGAAGTCTATCTCCGAAGAGGGGTAAGAGGGGGTTGCCAAATCATCAGTGGATCACGCGGTTACCACATAATTGATAATGAGGTCTCCAGTTGGTGGCGCATGAGGGTACTTTGGACTAACGCTACCGGTTCAGCTGAAGATTGTCCCGGGATTTGACCCACGGCTAACCCTAACTAGTCTGCAACCGGCGTGGTTTGCCTGCAGCTGAGACTCCTCTCCGATGCGTGATTAATTAATTTTACCTCGAGCTTGAGTTTTTAGTTCCTGCGATGATCCCAGTCGGTCTTACATACAGTGCGTTTCGTAGCCTCGGAGATGGTGCAGTGCTGGTCGAGTCTTCAGTTCAGCGGCCTGCCACTAGCCACTGTGTAACATGCCCCCCTCTTTATCGTTATAAAACCATTCCCCATAAGTAATATCTACGACTACTAGTGTCTCTCTCTCTCTCTCTCTCTCTCTCTCTCTCTACAAGTATTCCCATATCAACATCATCATAATCTATAGTATACTGCAACATGCCGACCATCCTCCTCCTCGGCACCTGCGACACAAAATGGTCCGAACTCCTCTACCTCCACTCCCAACTAACCTCTAACCCCTCCATCTCCGTCCTTCTCATGGACGTCGGCCGCGCCGCCACCTCCTCCCCTCTCATCAACATTCCTCATCCCAGCCTCAACAACAACAACAACAACAACAACAAAACAATCGACTACACCCAACTCTCCCGAAACGACTACATCCAAACCATCACCCACCAATCCACCCCCACCGTCACCGACCTCTACCACCATGGCAAAATCCACTCCATCCTCGCCATCGGCGGCAGCTGCGGCACCACCATCGCAACCGCCATCATGCGCGATGCCCTCCCCATCGGCTTCCCCAAACTCATGGTCTCCACCATGGCCTCCGGCGACGTGGGGCCCTACATCCAGGAAACAGACATCACCATGATGTACAGTGTCGTCGATGTAGCGGGTACAAACAGCATCTTGAATAGAATTCTCCGCAATGCAGCGGCTGCAGGGACCGGCATGGCCATATCATACTGCGACTACCTTACCTCCGAGACTACCATCGCTACAAACGGACATACCAAGATAAACTCGGAAGACGAAAAGAAAACCAAAATCGGCATCACCATGTTCGGCGTAATCACCCCCGCGGTCACCCAAATCCGCAGCTACCTCGAATCCCACCTCCCCAACCAATGTGAAATCTACGTTTTCCATGCCACCGGCTCGGGCGGAAAAGCCATGGAGCGCCTCATCCGCGAACAACAACTCGACGCCATCGTGGATCTGACCACCTCTGAGATCGTGGATGAGCTCGCCGGTGGGGTATTATCCGCCGGACCGGGCAGGTTAGATGCCGCTGCGGAGAGGGGCATCCCGCAGGTAGTGAGTGTGGGGGCATGCGATATGATTAATTTCGGGACGAAGGATACAATTCCCGAACGGTTCAAGGGGCGGAGGATCTATGAGCATAATCCGACGGTGACGATTGTGAGGACGGATGAGGAGGAGAATCGACGAGTCGGGGAGTTTATTGTGGGGAAGTTGAGGAAGGCGAAGTGGCCCGGGAATGTGGTGGTGATGTTGCCCACTGGGGGAGTCAGTATGATGGATGTTCCGGGGAATGAGTTCTATGATGGGGATGCGGATGAGGTGTTGTTTGGGACGGTGGAGAGGGGGTTAGAGGGGTCGGGGGTGAGGGTTGTGAGGTGTGAGGGGGATGTGAATTGTAAGGAGTTTGCAGAGGATATGGGGGAGACGTTATTGGGGTTGTTGAAGAATGTATAGATATTAGTTTTGAACTGAATTTAGGGTATGTTAACTTTATACTGTGTAGATCACAGTTACTACTTAATTGCATATCTCAATGTTGGTGCCGCCGGAGCACCAATGGGGTAATTTCCCGGTGGCCATTTACCCGAGTTACATTTACTCGAACTTGACTATAAATTGGATTCCCCAATTTTCCTTCATCGTACAGTTTATTTATTCAAATTTTTCTCCAGATTACTTTACACTGCACCACATAGCATCCAACATGTCCCGTTCCCTCGAAGGCAAATTCGCCATCATCACCGGTGGCTCCCGCGGTACCCCATCCCCATCCCCATCCCTTTCCTCCCCGCCATCACCCCGCCATCACCCCACTAACACCTCCCCAGGAATCGGCGAAGCCATTGCCCACAACCTCGCCAGCAAAGGCTGTTCCCTCCTCCTAAACTACACCTCAGACAGCTCCCGCACCCGCACCGAATCCCTCTGCAACACCCTATCCACCACGCACAAAATCACCTGCATCCCAGTGCAAGCCGACCTCTCCGACCCCGCCCCCGCCGTCAACACCATCATCTCCGCCGCCAAAACCCACTTCACCTCGCCCACCACCAACACCCTCACCATCGACATCCTAATCAACAACGCCGGGGTCAGCAAAGACCGTTTCCTCAACGACCCCTCCTCCGGCCCCATCGACCCCGCCTACTTCAACTGGCACTACACCATCAACGTGCTCGCCCCGCTGCTCCTCACCCAAGCCTGTGCGGAGTACCTCCCGCGTAAGCCCGCGCACAGCGGCCGCATCATCAACATCTCGAGTATTTCGTCCTCGTTGGGGTTCACAGGCCAGTCGGTGTATGGGGGCACGAAGGCGGCGTTGGAGGCGATGACGAGGACGTGGGCCCGGGAGTTGGCCGATGTGGCGACGGTGAATGCGGTGAATCCCGGTCCCGTTGTGGGTGATATGTATTTTGCTACGGGCGAGGAGTTTTGGAAGCAGATGCAGGGGTTCCAGGATAATACGCCGTTGAGTAAGTTGGTGGATGGGGAGGAGGCCGTGGAGGAGTTGCTGAGTGAGGAGCAGAAGAGGTTGATTAGGGAGAAGATGGGTGGGAGGAGGCCTGCGTTTACGAGGGAGATTGCGGGCGTGGTGGGCATGCTTTGTACGGAGGATGGGGCGTGGTGTACCGGGAGTGTGGTTTGTGCTAATGGGGGGTTGAAGTTTACTACTTAAGTAGCTTTTCTGCCTCTCTTTGGCTTATTGTTTGGCTTGTAGAGATGCTTGCCAGAGTAGAGCGCGTTGCTTTGCATTGATGAACTAGAGTTTATTACTTTTTTCCCCCTAGATTCTGGATATGTGTTATATATAAACAGCTACTTTATTCTTCAGATGCTCGTAAGTATTGATAACCAGTTGCTGAATGCAGTTTTGGATAATGGTATAGGTGAGCATAGGTTCTCTTGGTAGGGAACGAGTTAGGGTTATGCACGTTCCCGTCAGCCTCGTGTCGTGACCACCCTAGCCCTAACTTCTCGACAACCTGACTATGTCCATCCCGTATATAATATTAGCATGCAATAATGGATGCAAATACCGGATAGGACGGCAATAATAAAGTGGATATCCCAATTTTGGTCATATCTAGGGTATATTTAGAGTGAAACGCTAGTACCCATGGGTAAATAGTACACAGCAGTATCAGGCAGGTACTGGTACACTGATATTCCAAGCATCATGAAAACCTTGACAGAAGTAACTGCAGTTAAATGTTGATCAGATCACTGACAATCCATCAATTACTTCTCACTGGTATCTACACTATATCTTCACAATATTTGCATCGTGTCTGGGCTCAGCGGAATCGCGCCCAAGTGGGGCCGCCAGGCCACGCACGCCGATGACTAAGCTTCTAGGCAGCGATCAAGTTCTCCTGGACCCTGAAGGGTCTTAATCATGCATTTCCTGCCGGGGGATCTCATTCCCGCTTAATTAGCAGAGTTGCAGTGTCGGTTGATTCCTACGGTCTGTCAGCATGGATGCAGATACTATCCTTGACGCTGTGGCCCCACGCGGCGGGAGGGCCAGGAGTGCATGTGACCTGTGCCGGCATAGAAAGGTGCATGCCCTATGTCTCTTACTACGGGTTCATCACTGATGCAGTATAGATTCGGTGCGATGGAGAGAAGCCAGCATGTGAGAATTGTCGTTTTGCTGGCGTCACTTGTACTTTTACTATCACTGGTCAACCGAGGAAGACCATTAGAGAGTATGTTCTAGTGGCATTCTGATAGTAACATTATTGCTGATCTCTACAGACAACTCGTTGAAGCCAAGGCTCGTGTACAAGAACTAGAAAGATTCATCGCTGGCCATTCTCTCCCAGGAGCAGTTTCACCAATCATCCAGTTGCAGGATGAATTGCGATCTGTCTCACCATGTCCGCCGATGTCGCTTTTCGCCGCGCCATCGCATCCTCAGGACTCATCCGATTTCGACACAGCCTTCGAAATCTTTAAACAACATCTGGAAAGTTCCTGGCCAGGCACTACTAACTCCCCTCAGCGCACCTCGTTCCATGCCACTGTCTACCGCCAGACTGGTACTGTCTTGGACTTGCCCGGCTTCTTAGCCCGCGTGACAGAGTCCTACAAAGCCCAGTATGCCTCCATCTCGCCAACAGTGACCAGTCCTCAATGGCCCAGCTACACGCTGATCCAGCAATGTCTCGACTACTACGTCGCCAAGGGCATGTACTTGACGTTCCCTGTTGTGGATGTACCCGCCTCCCAGGCTGTCCTTAATGCCCTCGTCTCTGGTCGAACAGATCCCGCGCCTACCACAGCAGACAAAGCCCATCTCTTCGCCTTCGCAGCCTTTATCACCAAGCAAAATCACCACCAGCCGCAGTTTGCAGATACAGATCCGGACGCTTATGTGCAGTCCGTACTGACACTCGTGCCTAAGCTGATGCTTGAGCTAGCTAGTGTGGAGAAATTAGAAACCTTTCTCATATTGGTAACCCCCTCCCTTTCCCCTACTCGACCATACTCTCTATATCCTAACATAGATATAGGCCCTCCACATCGCCCCAGCTGGCTACCCTCAACAAGCCCAAATCCTCCTCTCAACCGCCATCCGCATATTATACCAATTAGGTGGCCACCGCATCACCCCTCTCCCAGAATCATCCCCAACCTACAGTAGCAAAAGCCATTCCCACCTCCGCGCCATATTCTGGCTCTGCTACAGCATGGACAAAGAAATGTGCATCCGCACCTGCTCACCACCTCTCATCCACGACATCGACGTCGACCTCAACCTCCCCCAAACCTACATCGGCTCCACCACCCGCTCCCCCCAACCATCTCCATCTTCTCCATCATCATTCTACGACACCTCCCAAAACCCCCTCCTCTACCCAACAGACATCCGTCTCGCCATCTTCAAATCCCACATCTACAACCGCCTCTACTCCAGCCACGCCCAATCCCTCCCGGAGGCCCGCCGTCTCGCGCATATCCGCCAACTCGATCAAGATTTAAGTGAGCTGTATGCCGAGTATCCACTGGGACATACTCCTTCACATGCACAAGCACATACTCCTAGTTCAGAACACAGCACCAGTACCAGCACTTCCAATCATCGTGATCCAACAACAACAATCCCCTCCAACGAAGACCGTAGTCAGAAAGTTATCAATATCCGCCCCGTCAATATTCACCTCGAATACCACTACTGTATTCGCAAACTGCATGAAGCGAGTATCACGACTAGTTTATCCGTCGTTTCTGCCCCGCTTGCTTCCAGTCTAGAGCTGTATTATCAGGCGTCCAGGTCGACGTTACTGTATTATTTGAATTCTGGTCCTGGGGGGTTGGTCGATCGGTTTAGTTTTTGGTGAGTCCCCCCTTTCTGTATTATTAATATCTTGTCCCTAGTTATGTATAGTTTACTGATACAAAGGGTGTGTGTGGGGTGGATAGGATCCATGCACAGTTTATCCTCTCTGCTATTCTCACTGTCTTCTGGTGCTTAATTGAAAATCCGGACCCAAGAGACCCGACCTTTACGAGGGATTTGAGGATGTTGGAGGAGATGAGGGGGTTGTTTGTTTGTGGGGTGTTTGATCGGGATGGGATAGGTGGGGGGGAGAGGGATAGGGGGAGGTTCTTTCCGCCGGCGTATATAGTAGATGGATTTTTGGGGTGGTTGGTTTCGTTAGTTAGGGTTGCGGTGGAGAGGGAAGGGGTTCGGCATAGTCATGGGCGTGGACAGGGTCTGACTTCGTGACGTCTCTGTCTTATTCTTATTACTTTTGTCTGAAGATCATGTTGGGTGTTGGTTGGGTGTCTGTTTTGGGGTGGGATGTCTATGTAAGATTGTATATTATGTATATTGTTCATGAATCCTGGCTGAACTGTCTCTATACGTAATAGTATGCTATTGTGTTACCGTTATGGAGGTTTAAAAAAGATGACATAAGGTGGGAGAGATGTGGTGGTCAAGTAGATACCGGTGAATAGTGTCAGCAGTATGGATTAAAATAATTCGTAACTATCTAGAGCGAGCGACAAAAGAATCTAAAATGATCTTCTGATCTTCTGATTTTCTGATCGTCACTATCAAAGATTACCCCTGCAAGAATAGCCCTCTGTTAATCCCCATCAATCCAAAGCATCTTATTCCTGGATATTTCCGGAACGAAGTATCCTCACCCCAGACCAGAGCTAGGCTCAGTTGCCAGGTACACCATTCCCTTTGATATACCAGCCATTGTCTGGATTATACAAATCATACGGCGTAACTCCCGTCAGCACATCATACTTCTTTTCCGTACACCCTGCTTGGTTGACTTTGATGCAGGGAGCCAGAAATTCGGCTACGTGTTTGCCCTCGTAATAGGCTCCGTGCAGGTAGCCAAAGAACTCCTGGCTAGTGGCCTCGCCGGCAAAGAAGACGCTGTCGACATTGGCGCGGAGATTCTGATGCTCTTGTAGACTGGTCGATGCCGGCCAGTACGAGTAGGATCCGTAGGCCCTGCAAATGTCAGTGCTGCTGTTATTGTCCCAGGAGGGCAGACATCTCACCAATCCCATTTGCTCCAATTCGCAAAGTAGATGTCTTCCGGATATGTCACATCTCTATCAAAGTACATTTTCCTTAGTATGTCGTAGATCTCCTGCTTGGTAACCTCTGGATCCTGCGACTCTACGCGGTAAGCGCGCTCTCCGGTCACCGTGGCCACGAGAATGTTAGACCCTTCATACAAACCATCCAGGTCCAACGGCTGAAATACTGGGTAGTTGCCGCGAACATGAGGATCTGCCCACAGAATGAATTTTTCTTTATCCCAAAAACTGGTCGGAAACTTGAGGAAGATCTTGGTGTACGTGGCCATCTCGAAACCGGCGATGCCCTGGGCCTTCCAATCCGGCAGCGGCGGGTCAAATTTCACATCTCCTTTCTGCAATACTCCCAAGGAGAAGGTCACAATGGCATATTTGGCATTGACGCATCCATTGTTACTAGTCACGGTGACCCCGCTCAGATCGTGCTTGATACTGGTGACTTTGTTGTTGACGCGGACACGGTCAAGAACAGAGCTCACGGTATTCCGCAAAGCAGAAACGAATCCTGGTTCGTCACAGACAAATCTGTCTTCCTCTAAAAAAGTACCAGTATGTAGCGATTTCGGAGATAACGCCAAACACCTCCGAGTGCATTTCTGGAGGAGATGCAGCCCCCCAATCCCAGTACCACCAGTCCGCCAGTTGCTCAGCCGGATCAGTCTTGCGCGGATCCCAGCCATAAAGGCGTTGACCGGCTCTGTATGTTCGATCCTCGAGATTGTTTTGCAAGAGGTTAATGGCGTCTACAAACACCTTGTCAGTGGCATTACCGGCGGCTTCTAGGGCGGCGGCAATGTTCTTAACGTTGTCTGCAGGGTACAGAACATGTTCTTCGTTGTTGGTCTCCCTGACAGCGCCGATTAAGATGATGTCTCGAGTTAGAATGGAGGGGGCTTACACCGTATTCAGATTCGCTTTTTGAACCTACGCAAAGTTAGCCGGTGTGTCAAGGACCAGGAAAGTGCTTTTATACCTACCATAGTCCACATAGGATTGATGTTGCCGTCTGCCTTCCCGGGTCCGTGAACCTAACTGGTCAGCGTTGAATCGCCCATTGGACAACCTGATGAATGATACACACCCAATTGGCCCCCAGCTCAACAGTATGTCCAGCGAACTCATGACTATAAAGTCGGCCACCAGTCTCGCCCCTGGCTTCGAGCACGAGAAAATTGTTCACCCCGTTGTCTTGGAGGGTTTGCTGTTATGGTCAGCTCCATCCAGGAAGCGCGGTGAAAGGGATCCTACTGCGGCGGTAAGACCGGCTACTCCAGCTCCCCTGAACATGTCAGTCAATTGTATGGATGAATGATCCGGTGTCAGGGGCTTACAGAATGACAACATCGGTATTCTCGCAAACCGGCTCAGCAAGAGGCGCAGCATGCGCCGCCAACACTGGCAGCGCCACCGCAGCAGCAGGAGCAAGTCTCATAGTGTCGGTTGGCTGGACACCACTGTCGAGTCTGTATCTTTGATGCCACGGATTGGTAGTATGTAGCTCCTTATATGTCTCTTTGAAATGATCCTTCGACCTTACTTCAAGGAAAAGGGATCCGTTTGTATAGAAGAGGAATGTGCAAGGAATGCGGGGCGTACCTAACGTTGAGCGACTCTACTTCCTAGGAATCGAGTGCCCAGTATATCCATACCAGACACTAATCCGTAATGATAATCATTGGTGTCAAATGACTGCTGATCATAGTTGGCTTTGCTAGGGTTGCTGAAGTTAGCATCAGCTGTGACATGTTGACAGCCATCTGAAGAGGCAGGAGATTGAGAGATAGAGAAGCAATCCGTGGACATTTTATGGCCCATGCCGAACCATGTCCTCATTAATGTAGGACAAGTCTGTCAATATCCATTCAACTGTCAGAGACTTCCAAGGGAATGCAAATGTGGGGATAAAACAGCGCACACCCGCGGACATACCAGCACAGGATGCAGTGCCGGGGGTGAACATGTCGGGGTGTCGAAACAGGTATGCATAACCCCCGATAGCTATGGGACTACCATTGAAAGTAGTCATCGACATGTCACTCTTCACACATCTTAGGCATTTCACAGCAATGGGGTGGAAGGTGTGTGGAAGCTCAGAAGACTACGGATTTTGCAAAGCACATTGGGCAGGTGCCAACCAAACCGAAGGTTCAGACTACGGACAAATGGTTTTAGCAAGATATTCTTGTGGTCCAACATCATCAATGTATCTATGAGGGGCTGCGAGCACATGAACATGGCTATTTATTCAACGCTTTTCATTCTGTGCAAGTATCCTAGTCTTCCACCGATGCAACAGACCTGGTCCAGCTCGGTACTATACGACCAAAATCAATTTCCTGACCTTGCCCTTGATATCTCCATCTACTAATATAAGCCGGCGTAAACCCAGCGCCTCCATTCTTCGTGGCATAAGCACCAACAAGCGAGCCTACAAATGTCAACACTGCAACAAATCGATAATATAAGGGACCAACTTACCAGTAAATCGACCAGTGCCACCACTTACAATCCTCGTATCTGCATACCCAATGATCTTCCTCTGACTCGGGCTTCTCGATGGCGCAGCCGCAAAAGCATAAGTTGTGTCGTTGACAGCCTGAATCTCAAGCCTGATAGGACCTGCCTGCCACTCTTTTGGAACAGGAACAGTTCGTCCAGGAAGAGGACCGTCGTAGTTACCGCGACCTTCAACGTGGAATCTGAATGACAGGTCATTCTGTAGTAACACAATTCCCAGGTCAATATGCTGCTCCTGCGTCAAAAAGACCGTAACCCCTGCTTCCTCATCATCCACCTCGGGATCAAACGAGACATCCACACCATATGTGAACAGCGTATCCGTCTGTCGACGCATAACCAGCGTCAACCCGTCATCTGGCTTGAACTCCGGTGTCCCCGTCAGATTATAAAACGACGGAGTCAACCTCAAAGTATTAGGATATCCCTCCGGCGAGACCCCAAAATCCTCCGTCCTGGGATACCTCCAATACACAAAATGCGCCGGTATCGCCGACCCGGGAACGAAATCCACCCTATCAGGCTGGTCAATCCAGCCTCCCTCACCAACTGTAATCCCCCTATCCTCCGGCATCAAATGCCCGCTCATCACCCCCCTAACCGGCTGCACAACTGGCCACTCGCCCACCTCCCATCTCGCCGGCGCAAGAACCGTCTCTCTCCCCATGGGATAGTTCTTCCACGCCGGCCCAGACCGCGTACTCAGCGCCACAGCCCACCAATCCCCCATGCTATCCTGAAACAGATCCGCATGTCCAACCGTCTGGAAATACTGCGTTGTATTGCGATTCGTCAGCAGCGGATTCCGCGAATAAGCTTCCCATGGCCCGGTCCGGAACCTAGACCGCGCAATAGTCTCCGAATGGCCGAGTTCGGTCCCTCCCTCGGCGATCATGAGGTAGTAGTATCCGTCTTTGCGGAACATGTGTGGCCCCTCGGGGCTGGAACCCCCGGTGCCGTTCCAGAGGTTGTGGACTGGGCCGGTAGCCCCGGTAGTGAGGTCGAGGGAGTACTGTTGGATGTGGTTGCCGCTGGAGGAGCCGCTGTTTGCGGATGTGACGTAGACGGTGCCATCGTCGTCCCAGAAGATATCTGGGTCGATGCCGGTGACGGCGAAGACGAGGGGGTCGGTCCAGGCGGAGTTGTTGTAGGGGTTGGTGGTGGTGAAGAGAAGGCCTTGGATGTCTGAGCCGAGGTAGGTGACGATCAGGTAGAAGGTGCCGTTGTGGTAGCGCAGAGTTGGGGCGTAGATGCCACCTTGTTGGTCCGTGGTGTTGCGGAGATCGGGAATTTGAGATGGCCGGTTGAAGGCATTGCTGGCCAATTTCCAGTTCTGGAGGTCTTTACTGGCGTAGATGGGGAGTCCGGGGTAGGCGATGAAGGTGGAGGTGGCGCAGAAGGTGGTGTTTTGCTCCGGGACGTGCGCGCATGTTGGGTCGGAGTGCCAGCCGGGAAGGATGGGGTTGGTGTAGGTGTGATTTGTTGTGGGATAGGAGGATGTAGTGGTTGATAGTAGAGTGGTGATGAGGAGGGTGGAGAACCACATGGTGTTGCAATGTGGTGAATTTATTTCACTGGAAGTTTAGAATGCTTTGGGGTTTTATAGGCGACAGCTTTAATGAGGGTGTGGGAGCGTGCCATGCGGGTTTAGGCTAAACCAAGCTGTGGGCTAAATGCATCACCAGTATCATGAGGATGAGTTGGTGAGTCGATTTCTTGGCTTTTCATAAATGGCTGATTTCGCAGATCGACATCCTTGACTGAAGTGCATTTCGGCTCTACTCAGCCGATGCATGTATATACTCTCCGCTAGTATTAACAGGTCAATGTTACTAGCAAACATTTGATTAAGATTCGCTTATGCCTGAGGGGTATGTATTCTATCGCTAGCAAATAAGAATTTATAGCACGAGACCAAGTACCAAGGTAGAGTATCAACAGCCATGATTGTTCATGATCGCCTTGAATGAAGGATCCTGCAGGAGCTGTGTCGCGGTCAGGCGCTCCTCCGGACAATAGATAAACATTTTCTTCATGAGAATGAGCAAATGCTGTCGTTCAGTTGGGTCGGCATCGGGACGGTGATATGAAACGAGAAACTCTAAGCTATCTGGATCGGGCCCCTGACTCTGGTCATACCACGAATCAAGACCTCCAGAGAAGACATAAAGACCCTTCCACTCTTCCGGTAGGGGTCCGAGATTTTTGGTAATAGCACTGAGAATCCCACCCGGATACAAAGTACTGAACGGTGGAATACCAAGATAAAGCTCGGAAAAAAGAATCATATAACTCCACATATCACAGGCAGCGCCTGTTTCTTTTCCATGAAGGCGATCGGGAGAGCAGAATGCATCGGCGGATAGCCCCGTTGAGTTGCGGACTCACCGACCTTCTTTGCCAGGGCAAAGTCTCCAATATAGAAATCCTCGGTCCGTAGGCTCTCAGGGACCTGAAGGGGCTGGACAAGCTCGCCCCGTTTCCACAGGTCAATGTCATCTATAACTTGCCTCAATGGCCGACCAAGTGCTTTGTGCTTAGCACTTCGGCTAAGATGGTGAAGAGGGGCCGTTCCCCACATACAGTTCCTATCATTCAAGTCTATGGTTTTCTCCGTTAGATTCAGAAAAGGGAAGGGAAGAGTAGCATTACTCACCACGATGCACAATGCCAGCTTGATGTAGCTTCTTCAGAGCCTCCAACAATTTTCGGGCAGCGGGCATGCGAGCGGTCGGAGGCATTCTCAACAGGAGAACCGGGTCAACGCATGGGCCCATCAAGGGAAATACCAAGACTTGATGATGATCATTGTCTCTGGGGAGAATGAAAGCATCGAGATATGTCACCAGAGACGAGGTATCCTGCACATGCTGAAAGATCTCGTTCTGCATACGAATTTCGTTCTCTGCCCACTCCCCCAAGGCCATGACCTTGAGGGCAACGTCCTTCCTCTGCAGAAGGTCATGGGCCATCCATACAGTTGACCCGCCACCAAAGCCAATCTTGTGTTCAATAAGATATCTCCCGTTAAGCACTTCTCCAAGACAGATAGGATAGAAGACTCTCGAAGTAGATTCTGGATCATATCTATCGCATGGTTCCACCACCATTTTGAGGTCACACTCATCATCCCAATTGCGCACAAAGTCGCCAAAGGCATCGTCAGGAAGGGTTTGAATGGCGGCCATTTCAGCACCATGAATATGAGTCAGATAAACCAAAAAAGACAACTTTGGAGAACAAATGAATTGTGAGTGTATGCCATGGTGATGTCGGAAGCTGAAAGTGTTGGAAGGTTTATAAAATCTGGGCAATATACTGTGCCCCATGCTGTGCCACAAGAAGCGCCCGATTTGATACCAAAAGTGCACATTAGTATTACTTCACTGCCACACAGGGCGCATTTTATTAGATAAATCATGATAGATTGCATGGTTGTCTCCGCTGACTCCAAGGATTCTTTCACGTAGAGTGGTGATCAGGATGTCAGACTTTAGTTGGCTGCTCTAGACACGGACAATCCTACAAGTATTCATTGTGACTAAAGGGATAACATACCTGGTATCCGTGATCATTCACAGTCACATGTGCTGCATTTTCATCGGCAAGAGTGCGTGTCTTGGGTTCTGGACCTCGTTGAGCTGCAATACAAAGTATTCCCATTACCTGTTGAAGCCTTACCAGCTTCATCCAGGCAGTTCGTCATGGGAAAACTATACCAACCAGAAAATTCCGTCGAAATTCGGCTCTTGCCGCAGGAAATTGACAACTATTAATGTCCCCTTCTTTTTATAAGGGTCAAGAGAGAATCTATTTGGGGGAAGCGGCAGCCGCCTTCAATAGCCTGCATTCACTACTACTATTCAAGTCTCATAATATTGCTGTACTGCTGGAAACATTTCTTATTCCCATTGGAAATACATCCATACATCGAATTCACATATCTATTACCTATTGATTCACATCTCAATTCACGCATTCTAAGTCACGTCTTCAACCGAATCAAATCTATATAAAGCCAGCTCCCCCCGAGTCAGTTCTCCTACAACAGGATGGTAAACGGACAACAACATCATCTGGACTCTTGGAGAGCATATATCATTTCCATCAAATCTATATGAGATCCTACGCAAATTCAACCTCAAAGAACTACTGAGAATATTCTTTACGAGGGACCTCACACATTTGAATCTACATCCTTGCTTTCCATATATCATGCTGTCATTATGGCTGCACTACGGCACTTCTACATACGAAGAAGGGTTTACGGCTGTTTATATTCCTTTCTATTGGGGAGGGATGATAGAGAGCGGAACGATATCTCACGTCACGCCATTGAACGAATTGGTGCGCTTGAAAGCCAAGCAGCGGGTTTCAACGAGTGAAATCGGAAATCAAATTGGAGCTCTCCAATTTGAAACGCAACCACGATAGAGAGCTCCAAAAAAGTAATAATAAGGAAGCTGGCAGAGATCCTAGGCCGAGGAAGTGCTATCAATCAATCAATCACCAGGATATATTAGTACTAAGTAGTATCAGGCCATGCCACGCTGAATCACTGGCTACCGGGAAGCCCAATAGAAGTAATCAAATCCATTAATGACAAAACTTAATCTAATCACTACCATTTAAGATGTTCATAGTAGAAGACACGTCAACTAGCCTAAGACATGTATGTATCACGCAACTTCTTCTAACAGTAAGGGCATACATACCCCGGTTAGTCAGCACGGTCCATCCCCAACCGACGTCATCCCATCATTCCGACCATCACCACCATCCCATCCTATCTATCCATTTACCAACAATCCCATCTCCAATTCGAACCCAAAATGTCTCTCTGGACTCCCCTCCGTGGGCTGCAAGTCTCCCGCTCGTTATCCAAGCCCTCAATCCCTCGCCCCCTCTCACTCCGCACCCTATCCACCACCACAACCTCCGCTCGACTCCGACTCATCACCAACCCCATCACCTCCGCACCCCGACTCATCACCACAACACCAACAACAAACCCACCCACCTACATCTCCACCCTCAAAAACACATACTCAACATCTTCCAAACCCCCCGCCGACCAAGTCATCGATGAACTCCAAGAACTGTCCGTCTATACCCTCCCCTCTCTTTTACCCAAATATTACATACAAACTAACAATCCCGGTAAACGCGCAGCTACGAAGTCGCCAAAGACGAATTCGAGATCGCGACTGAAAGCACCGACTCCGCGACCATCTATGCGGCCTCTGACCGAGAGTCGGCGCGTGATGCCCTCAACGAGCTAATCGCCGTGTATACGGTGTATACAAGGGATATGTCGTTTGTGAGCCATTCGCCGCAGGGACAGGTGGATGTGGATACGGGGTTGGATCCGGGGAGTATTGGGGATGAGGTGCGCGAGCAGGTGAGGAAGAGGGTGGGGACGAGGGTTAGGGAGATTGTGGGGGCTGTGGAGAATTTAGAAGAACGGGCTTCTGCTGAATAAATTATGATATATATTCATGTTTGATCTTTGGGGGGAGGAGATGGGGGAACGCGGGGGTATGTGTATGATAGTTATGGTATCTAGTGTTGGAATGAGGGAATTCAGGTGGTAGTAGTGTATATGTCATTAGATGTGTAGTAGTAGAGGCTGTTTGTTCAACTCGCGTCGGATATATACTAGTAAGCAGTAGGTATGTGTCGTCCACTCATAATGATCCATTTTCAATTAACCAGTCATCAATCACTCGCTCATTCAGTGTCCTGTTTCGCCATCGTACTCCGTTTTATATCCAATCCCATCCGGTATCAGAAATCACGTATGTATGTATATTCCCTTCCCGTTGATCTGCGCCTGGTATCTGTCTGTGCTGCTCTCACGCCACTTCGGCGAAGGCAAGTCCGAAGTCATCCGGCATCGGAGTACCTAGTGAGATGTCTTCTTTGTGCGTGGTTCTTAAATGTCGTTTAAGTTGGTCTGGGTTGTTAGCATATTCGTCATACTGCAAGGGAGGTAAAGCTTACCGTGTCGCGTGAAGCTCTTGGTGCATCCGGCGTGGTGGCACTTGTGTCGGCGCTCGCCGTGTGCTAGTCCAGTTAGTATATATTACATGCATAGCTTGGCGAAGTTACATACTCAATCGGTGGCTGGACATGTTTGATGACTGAATCTGTTAGCTTGATTTCCCTCATTCTGGTTGGCTGTACTTACGTCGCCAGTCTGGAAGTTACACCCAGGGTACGTGCATTTGAAGGGCTTCTCGCCCGTGTGCGTCCGCGAATGCGTTTCTATCTCGTCAGTGTCTATTCATCTAAAAGATGCTTTGCACATACTCAGCTCGCTGCTGTCGGTAAACGACTTCCCGCACTCCGAACACTTGTACGGCTTCTCGCCTCGGTGGCTCCGCTCGTGCCGCTCCAAGGTTGCCTGTCGCGCAAACATCTTCCCGCAAACCGAGCATTTGAAGTTTTTGTCTATATTGTCAGCATTCGTCCTAGAAGTTTCCGGGACGTGCACTTACAATTACTGTGGGTCAAGAAATGCCCCTGCAGCTTCGACTTTTGCGAAAACGGCTCGTCCGGCCGATGACACCCTTCCCAGCAGCAGTAATACCCCGTACCCTTGGCACCATCTACGGTCGCCATGTGGCTTGCCACCAGATGTTCCTGCAGACCGCATGCATCCGCGAAAGTGGCGCCGCAGGGGAGCTGAGTCCCGTCAGCCTTCGATATCCACCGGCAGATGAATACCTCGGTATCGGGGACATATTCCGGACTGGTCAAGACGGACGAGGTACCCCCTTCCAGCGGGGGTGGCGTCTCGCCCGGACTCAATTGCGAGCTCACGCTGGACCGCGAATGGCGGGAGTACGGCGAGTAGGGTGAATAGGAATGGACATGGTGTCCGTGTGTGCGACACCGATGAACATGCGTGCGGCATGGCTTCCAGTTATTGGTTGGCTTCTGCGTCGGAGCTGGGCTCTTCACTTCGTTCGGCGGGTGGTGGTGGTGGGGATGGTGAGGGATGTGGAAGCAGGTGAACGAGTTCGAAGCCGCATCATCGGCAGGTTTGCCCTGATCAGGGCAGTTCTGCACTTCGTGGACGTGGAACTGATGGCACGCAGACAGGTCAGGGCACATCATGTGGAATACATCCGCTGGGTTGACTGCGTTCTGCAGAGGTAACCACGGATTTGCTGCATGGTGAGCATCCTTGGATATATCATGACAGTGAAAATGCTGATGACTGTGGGAGTGACAGTGGGATGCAGGTGCATAAGGAGTGAAGAATGCATCACTTGTCGGTGCAGAGGGTACCATGCCCGTAGGTTGCGTCATGGTGTTGGGTTGCTCTACCTGCGTCTGTGGCATGGTGGTCGGGGATAGTAGGTCGCTAGTGTCGAGGTTAAGAGGTGTTCCCAACCCTAGCAGCGACTCCAAACTGTGTTCGCCATCTATGTTGGTGCCAGTGCCGAAGCAGTGTTCATCAAAGCAGACCGGGTCGGTGTTCTCGCAATGATCTTCGTCGCAGTGCGAGACTGAGCATACTGCAGCATCACCGCAGTCGACGAAGCCATCACAGACGGAGGGACAGGTGATTGAACAGTCGTCAACATCACAGCAGTCCTCCTCGACATTGCAGTCGTCATCCCCATTGCAAGGCGGTGCTGGGGTGTGATGTACCTGGTCGGAGCAATTCCATTGGACTGGCTGCGCCTCCGAAGCATCTTCTGCCTCCTTTCCATCCAGGTGGAATGCCTCCCAGTGACATTCAAGACAGAAATCGTCTTTCTTCGTGTGAGAAGCCATGGTGCCGATTGACGATCGACAGGCTTGAGATGATAGACAGAGAGTCCCCAGTCAATCGCGAGGCTGAAGCAACAGTCACACTGGAGAGGGGATGATGAACGGAACAAACCGCCAGAGCTCTGAGGCGGGGGGGACAGGAATAGGATGATCTGGGGTGTGCCTGTCTTTGTCTGACGCAGAGCACGCAAGTGGCAAGTTAGCTTGCCCTCCACACCACGCGAACGGGAAGAGACACTCTTACCAATGAAAACAAATTGCAATCAAGGTAGGCAATGCAGAGATCGTCCAACGGGAAGGCTAGAAGGCCAGTGGTGCGACTGGACTATGCGCAGAGATCACCAAGAATGAAGAACAGCCGATAGAAACGTCGGAGAGAGAAAAGACAGACCGCCTGAAAGCGATGGGATGAGGACCTTGGGAGCCAGCATGAGAGGCGGGTGACAGGCGATGGTGGGCGAACAGGATAGTTCAGAGGTAGTATGGAACAGGGAGCGAGTAGGAGTTGGTAGAGCGAGCGCGAGAGTGGAGTTGGTGGTGATGGAGGAGGAGGAGAGGATACTGAGAATACACCACCGCAGTAGGGCTCTTTTTCGGTAAGGTTACCGTCGCGATACGCAGATCTCAATCGGTAATTTGGGGACCTTGGGGACGAGGACCTTGGGGGATGGCGTCATTAGTCTGTGGTCGCCGCAGCGAATGATACTCCTCCCAATGTCAGAAATTTTTTCTGTATCTTCATCAGTTACTTTCGTGTTTTTTTCCGCAATCCTTTTTCTCTTAAGAATGGCCCTTTAAAAAGGAATATTCAGGGACTGTGCTTCTACCCTGAAGATCGATCCATCCATCGAGGAAAAAGGGTGGGAACCTTGGGGCCAGGCGGAGAAAATTCTGGCCGGATTCTGCCCGCAATACAGTTGCCGCCTTGGGTGGAAAGTGGGACAGCATCCAGAACCATCAATGAGGGAGAACCAATGATGCCTCCTGCATTCGTGTGTTTGAGGTTGATTCTGTTTTGACTGATCCAAGTACCGTCGGTACACCATTTAGGAAGGACTCGATATCTATACTGTCTTATCAAATATTAGTGATTGTGCATAAACCATGCCAGTTACAGCAATACCTGTAAATAAGCTGAATAACATCACCTGACTGGCGTTACTGCAGCAAAGTTCCACCACCACAACCTTGTCTGGCCATTCTTGAAACTTTGACTTTGAGTCATTGATGCGAATCCAAACACGATTGAAATATCTCATTAACCGTCCATATATCCCTGGAACAAGCCCAAAGAATCCTCAAATAAAACAAACAAAAACTCATCGGTAGATAGTTAAACCCCTCCCCCTCACTGGCCGCATTCCCCATTCTCCATGTGCCAATTAACATTACCGACTAACGGATACGCTACCCACGTGCCCGCCGCCTCCGGATCGGATCCTCCTCCGCGTCACTATCACTATCACCATCACCTATCAACCTCACTATCGTCCCCATACTATCCACCATCCATCACAACCGCTACCCATCTACTATCCATTCTCTACACTCAATACCATTCATCCTTAACGATAGATTAACCCATCCACACCAACCAGCCAATCACCCATCTATCCTCAAGTCCCTTCCATCCACCATCCAAACCTTCCCCGCACGAACCCACTATCACCAAACAACCAACCAGGAACATACACAAGATGGGCAACATCTGCTCCAAATCCAAAAACCAACCCGACGCCTTCTCCTCCCCCGGCCGTGTTCTCGGCTCCGCCCCGAACAACACAGCAAAAGATTCCTCCGCCCCGCGCGCCCCGCTCCCATCTAACGCCAAACCCGCCTCTAACTGGGGCTCTGGACCCTCCGGACGGACATTAGGGTCGGGGAATACTGCTGCTGCTGCTGCTGCTGGGGATGGGAATGCGACTGCAGATGCGAGGACGAATGCCGCGTTGGCGGCGCAGGTGTGTATTCCTTATCTTCTCCTCTCCTTCCCTTGATGATGGATGAATGTTTTTGTGTTTGTCTATTACGGTGGGAGAGCTGGGCTAATGTTCAACAATTGGAATAGAAACGGGCTGAGTCCGCATCCGCAACTGGGAGCAAAGGAAAGCTGGGCACCAAGTTAGCAGCGCAGAAGGCGCAGACGCAGAATCAGACGCTGAATGAAGCTAGTCGGGATGAAGTGGCTGCCAGGGAGGCGGATGGGGCGGCGGAGGCGAGGAGGTGGCAGTAGAATTTTGATCTCTTCTACTACTATGTATCTGTACGTGGGTGGGGGCTTGTTGTTTTAGTTGCGTGGTGTTGATTTATTCTTGGGTGTATGAGTGAGCGGTTTAGCGGGAGATATTCCTATTTTTCGTTTGCAGTTTGTTACGACTTGTGGTTACTGTTGATACCATAGCAGCCTAGCTTATCTTAGCTTTGTTTTCTTCTATTTCATGTCTACATAGGATAATCATCTGGACGTGGAATGCTTATCGATAATATGCCTCTATGGTACAGCAATATACTTTAAACCACGTTGTAGCGACCTCCCACGGGTGCCCGCGCGTCGCTATCCGCCGCCGCGATGGTGCCCTCCTTCAGCAGTCGCATCAATTCGCGCATGGCGTTTGTCACGGCCAGCTCCGTCTCTCCTTCAACAAGAATATACAACTTGGGGTTCTCGCCGGGCCCAGGCACCTTGCCCGTAGGATAGAAGCTGCCCTTTGTAGTGATGGATGTACCCGTGGCCTCCAAGATCTTGGCCACGTTGGTGCGGTTGGTGACGGCCCACCGAGCCTTTTCTGTAGGGACATTAGTATCCGACAATCAATATAATAGGTGGTGGACTTACGAGGAAAGTCGTTGATTTCCAAGGTGGCGTGGAACGCGCCTGCATCGGGCCCGCGGTTGTCGATGGGCACTCCAGATCTCATCACTCCTGCGCGGCTCAAGCGCGCGTGGATATCCGCAACGGCTGAGCCCACCTTATCCAGTGGGTTCTTGGACGTGCTGTTCGGATCCTTCTCCGTCTTGTGCACGGTGATCTTGCCATCAAGATCAATGCCCTTTGGTACACCAGGCAGGGATGGAGCTGCCGTGGATTGCACAGACGAGATAGCCTTGTTGAACCGCTCCTCGGCTTGCTCATTCTTCTCTTCCTTTTCTTCCTCATCTTCGCCCTCTTCGCCAGTCTTGTACGTACGCCGTTCACGCATACGAGCAGCATCACGCTCCTGGTCTAGACGCTCCAGACCCTTTCCACCGAATCCAGAGGCACTGGCCTTCTCCTTGCCAGCCTTGACCTTTTCCAAGAAAGCGTCGACCAGTTTCTGTACCGGCTCTGGCACCTTCTGTCCACTCTGTTTCAACGCCTTGGCGATGTCGACGGAGTAGCGCTCTTGGTCTTCCGTGAGGAAAGTGACCGCTGTTCCGGTATTACCGGCACGTCCCGTACGTCCTGCGCGGTGAACATAATCCTCCAAGTGGTTGGGTGCATCGTAGTTCACGACGAGCTTCAGTTGCTTCACATCCAGTCCACGAGCGGCAACAGACGTGGCGATCAACACAGGGAAGATACCAGCCTTGAAATCCTCAATGGTCGAGTCACGGTCAATCTGATCTTTGCCTCCGTGGATGGACATGCATGGGTAACCCTTGCGCATGAGCTCACGAAGCAGTGCATCAGCAGCTTCCTGACGATCAACGAAAATGAGAGCACGTGCGTCCTCATTCTCATCGCTCGAATACAGGTTACCTAGGAGTTCCAGCAAACGCACAAATTTCTGGTCATCATTGCGCACTTCGACGATCTGCGTGATCTCGGGAGCCACGACACTCTTGCCACCAACCACGATTTCAATCGGTTTCGTCAGGGTCTTGCGAGCCAGCGCTTCCATATTCCGAGGGAAAGTAGCCGAGAAAAGCACCGTCTGCCGGTCAGGGCGAATGTTGGCCATGATTTTCATCACCTGCGGCTCGAAGCCCATGTCGAACATCCGGTCCGCCTCATCAAGGACCACATAAGTGACCCGGCGTAGATTAGTGACTCTACCAGCGTTTGCTGCCAGAAGGTCGATCATTCGGCCCGGTGTGCAGACAATGATCTCGGCACCACGCTTCAAATCAGCAATTTGATCTTTGATGGGCGCGCCGCCATAAGCACAAACGGCTCGGAGGTTCAAAGCCTTGAGGAATGGCTTGCAGTCCTTATGAATCTGCGTCGCCAGTTCACGAGTAGGCGTCATGATCAAACCAACGGGACCTTCCATGTTGTCCAGCGGCCGTTGATCCTTGATGTGTCGGAACATGGGAATTAAGAAGGCGATTGTTTTACCAGATCCCGTCTTAGCCACACCGATCACATCACGCCCAGACATAATCGCAGGAATGGCCTGAGCCTGGATCGAGGTAGTCTTCTCGTATCCCAACTTGTCGATCACATCCAGGGTCTGCACTCCCAACCCACATTGAGACCATTTCTGGACTGGCTTGGGAACGTCAACACCGCGAACTTTAATGCCGTCGAGTTCCAGACGCAAACTTGCCGCCTCTTCATCCGACATTTGTGCCAAATCAGACGGCTCCGTGTAGAACTTCTTCCGGAAGGTTTCATATTCAACCTTCTTGTGGTCGACAGCTGGAATATCCTTCTTCTTCTTGGCCTTGTTCGCAATGGCGAGGAAATCATCTGCATCCCCGTCCCCGACGGCAGTCATATCAATATCATGCTCGTCACCGAACAAAGCCTCAGGCTGCTGCTCTTTGGTCCTCGAGAATTTGGCGCCGACCTTTTTCTTTGGAGGTGCCGACTCGGCAAGCTCTGACATAAACGCATCCAAAGGATCGATTTCCTCCTCTTCTTGAGCATCGACCTCCATGTTGTCGGCGGCCTCTTGACTAGGAGCGTCTCCCATTACGGTGTCATTCGATTCGGCACCATTGGACTGGGCTTTTATAGCTTCGCTCTGCAAGCGCTCTTCCCGTCTCTCCGCCGCTGCTCGTGCCGCCGCCGCCGCCTCTTCCTCGGTGCCACCGTCTTGCATGTCGACATCGTCTTCGTCCTCATCAGCGGCACCATCTGCAGTTCCATTGACATCCTTCGCGTCTTCTAAGGGAGGGGTAGGTAGCCTTTCTAACTTCCTGCGTGTCGACTCTTCCTCTCCGAATCCTAAAGTCTTGGTAGCCGTGGACTTTTCGGTATCTGCCGCTTGCTTGGTACCTAAGCCAAAACCACCAACGTTGCCTTTCGCCTTCAAGGTAGCTGTGAACGAATCAGTACATATTAAAATAGCCTTATTCAGAAGGAACCACATACCTGAGGCACTTGTAGTAGACTTGGGCTTGACCTGAGAGGGGATGGTAGTAACTGGCTTGACAGATGGCGGGACGGCAACATCATTGCCCAGCACCGCCGGGGGCGCGGGTGTAGAAGAAGCACTCTTTGCAATCGCCTTTGGATCAAACTTCCCAGTATATGTACCGGGAGTAGCATCAACGCCTGGTGTTGCAGGAGATTGGGGAGAACTGACAGCCGGTGACAAACCAGACTTGCGATCGATCTCTTCTAAGATACTTCTCGCTCCGCCAGCTGCAGCAGCTTCTCGCTGTTTCCGTTCCTTCTCAGCGGCCTGTTTTTGCTTCCATGCTTCCAGCTTGGCGAGTCTCTCCGCCCTCTTTTCGTCCTCTGTCGGGGCCGCGGTGGCTGCTGGTGTTGACGGCTTCGAAGTCTATAGTCCATGTTAGATGCATTCGACCAATGCGACAGAAAAAGCAACGAGAAATTGGCTTAGAGCTTACCTCACGAGACCTAGGAGCATCCTTAGCCCGATCCCGGCTATCGTCCCGTCTAGACTTGTACTTCAAGTCAGCAGAATCATCTGTCCGCCTTCGAGCCCTGTCGCGGGAATCTTCTCGCCTGCTTCGATAGTCCCTATCGCGGCTTCGTCGACGGTAATCGTCGCGCTCCCGAGAGCGTCGTCGATCGCGAGAGCGTTCTCTGCGACCGGGTCGATATGAATCTTCGTCGCGTCTGTCTAGCGAGCGGTCACGTCTCCGGAAAGCATCACGGTCGCGATCGCGTTCGCGTTCACGGTATCGTCTCTGTAGCCAGGCGAGAGAAATTGTTAGAGCTGCCTACATGACATCAGAGGGAAAGGAATGAGCTTCTGCGTACCTCAGGACTGCGCGATCGGCGATAACTCCTGCCATCGTCTCGCCGGCTCCTCTCATAGCGATCATCGTCTCTGCGATTCCGTCTGGATGAGGAATACGTGCTGCCTACAGGTGATGGTGAGCGAGTATCCCCGTGGCGAGCCATTGTTGCAGGCCAACGATGAGTGAGTATTACTGAGACTCAAGAAAAAGCTCGAGCACGTGGACAGGATACTAAAGTGAGTTTTACCCTTCCATTCAAATTATGAGAAACAGTTTAGTTATTTTCTTCGAAAACCGGGCAGTGCCGACAGGACCCCGGTGGCGAGAACAGCTCAAGGTGTGGTCGAAGTGATGGTGTCCGACGGTCTGTTCTCTCCCAAACTAAAGAGGCTTTCGCGCCTCAGGCGGCGAGTGAGCCCACTTATCAATCACGTGAGTGATACCGATATCAGTAATGCTCACGTGAGAGCTTCATTACCCGATTCGGTATCTCCCAAACGACTGAGCTACGCGACCCCAACCTCCCCGGTTTCGTCACTGACAGGCATCCTGCACAAGGGCGAATCCTTCGACAGATCGTTGTTTGGCCACTTAGCATACTCCTCTCTACGTATCACTCCCGTCCCTCGTTTACGCGACAACCATTGTTCGGGGCCATGCCTTTGAACCTAGTTCGGTGCGGAGGGGGTGTCCTCCAACACCTCCAGCTTAGCGAGGCCTTCTCTCGTCCGGTCCGCCAGGCCATCTCCCAGAGCCATGTTAGGCGCATGTCCCTCGCCGCTCTGAGTCGCTTCTCGACCCCCAATGTCAGATATGCGCCTCTTTCCGCTGCACTCTCCGGACACCTGACCAGCAGCTATGCGACTGCGGCTTCCCCCAAGGGGCGCGCCGGCACCAAATCCTCTTCCACCAAGACGACGAAGTCTACCAAGTCCACCAAGACTACCAAGAAGCCTCGGGCAAAGAAGGAACTTACTGAAGAGCAGAAGGCGGCCAAGAAGGAAGCTAAGGAGAAGAGCGACCTGAGGCAGCTTGTTAAGCAGCTGAAGGCCGCCTCCCTTACGCCGCCCAAGAGGCTCACCAACCACTTCACCCTGACCATGCTCAGCAAGCTTGAAGAGGTCAAGAAGGAAGGAAAGGGATTGAAGGGCAAGGAGGCATTCAAGGAGGCCGCCGAACGTGCCAAGAACATTAGTGAAGCCGAGCGCGAGGTTCATTGTTCCCTTCCAGAGACATGAGACGTTCCATGATACTGACGTCTGCTTACAGCAATTTGTCGCTACTGCTGCTACCAACAAGGAAGCCTACGAGAAGGAATACAAGGAGTGGCTCGACTCGCACAGTCCCCTGGAGATCAAGCAAGCCAATGACGCCAGGCGAAGACTTGCCCAGATTCAGAACAAGAAGTTCTTCCCTCTTCATGACCCTCGCCTGGTCAAGCGCTCTAAGATCGCGTATCTATTTTACGCCGAGGAACGCCATCAGGCTGGCGACCTAAAGTACATGCCCATCCCCGAACGTGGTGTGCGAATTGCGGAAGAATGGCGAGGCATGACCGCTGCAGAGAAACAGGTATGCACGATGCGCCTCTCTCGGACTGTTGTCAGAAGGAATGCTAATGCAGCGAGCAGAAATACGTGCGACTTCAAGAAGTTGATGCCGAACGGTACGCCCGGGAATACAAGGTCGTCTATGGCGAGGATCCCCCCTATGTGGGAAAGAACGCGACGAAATGAGTACCATGAATGAGCATTGTGGCATGACTGTCAGGTAATGAGGTGGGAACAATTGTTTTAATACCAGGAAGGTCAACTGTGTATCAAGATTCTTCGGGCGGGTCCTCGTGATAATGGTGTGTCGTTTGCCCACTCAGTCTCAGCTGCTTGCCTTCCATGTTTTCGTGCACCTCCTGTATTCTCCATTTGTAATGTGACTTGGGGGAAATGTACCCTACGAAAGAAAATCCTCCCATATTGTTCAGATGCCATAGGGAGAATGGGATGTTTGGCTGGGCCCAACAAAAGCCTCATAGTTGCGATGCCGTGACGTATCCGAACCACGTGCCCGAGCCCGAGTCATAGCCAACCATCCACAACATTCTGAGAGCTGAGACATTTCTATTCCTCTGGATGTGTCGTTTTGGACGGGTAAATGCTTGGTCAAACTGCATGTTGCTCGTGCGCAGCCTGGGATCTTCGAATTCTAGACCAACGCCATCTCCCTCCAAATGATGACCGGTGAAGGGTTTATCGAGTCAATTAAGAGGTCGTCGTAAGAGAACTACTTACTGCATGCTGCTTATCCAACGACATACGATAGATGCACGCACATCTCCGGGTGTTGGGCATAAAAGATTGTATCCATGTGGTGGGTACGCACGCCCTGGATGATGCAGCGGTCCGACGGACATATGAGTCATTGTCAACAAGTCGTACCTGACTTGCCCTCCAGGGCCCCGTAACACCCTGCTCTCCCTCAACTGCATTGTATGCGGGCTGGCCCGTTCTTGCCGGGGTGTTTCATTTTAAAAGGGCGATCTAGCGCGTCGAGCTAGGAATTTCCCATTTTGGATACATGCAGAGACCAGACAGGGGGGCCTATGATGAATAGTATCAACATATTCATTCGACTCAACTCCTCAAGCAGTAACAGCCTGTAGATAGCAGCAAATGGCTCTAGATTCCGCGTGCATTACTGCATATGCTTTCCGGCGGGGCACGGGAAACACCCAGGGTCTAGAGAATGCACGCGATGCAGCGATTGCGGACGTCGGAGATTCTCAACAGGATGGACAACTGTACAGCACTCGGACGATTAATGGGGAGGAGACATTCAGGCGGAGCTGATGGATGTACATAGTGGTGTATCAGGACTAGCCTGGCCGGACCAACTGCGACGGTGTCAAAGAGCCCCGACGAAGGGGAGCTCCGAATGGCCAGTGGTTGGGTCTCAATTGCGCAGAACGGGATCTCATAGGCTGGCGGAGGGGTCTTTGCCTTCGATGCGGTGAAGAAAAGGCCACCGCATCCACCCAAGAATGGGGTGGTGGTTTTGATTTTTCTGACATCCGAGTTTCTCGCCGAATTTAGAACGAGAGGGGGGCCATTTTGGCTGGCTGCCTAAGAATGAGGACTGGACGGGTTTCCTGGATTTCCGCATGATGATGATGAATGCATGTCGGACCAATGTTGGGAAATTGTGCTGTTGCTGTTGCATAGATCTGGAGGCACGTGCGGTGGTGGATCGAGGAGGTGCGAGGCTCAGATGGAGGAATCAATGAATGAATGAATTTTTATTATACTACAGACAGCATCTGATATGTTCGACATGCGTGTCTTGTGGTAATGAGTGGTGATTCCTTTTGCTTTCTCTTGCAGTGATGCCCTATGCGACTTTTATTGAACCAGCCATTGATTTGTTTACTAGCTGCGGTAGTCTAGTAGATGTCCGTTCGTCGAACCAAGGAACCGGTGATCTTTTAGCTCCTCTTTTCCCTTAGCAGACTTTCCCATTTCCATCAAAGTAGTAATAATCGTTCATGTTTCGACCCCACTTGATGCCGGGAAAAGAATGACAACGAATACCTTGACTGTTTAAACCCTTTTTGGTAATGCTCTGAATACCCTTTGTCGGGCTCCCTCCTTCTGATGATGACGGGCTCCTTTCTGCATGATGGAGGAGGTCATCCCCGATGAGGGTTACATACATATAGAGAGACCAATCTACCCGCCCAGAGGCATATGCGCACCACTGCAAGTCAGGGTATGTACTGAAGTACATACCACCACTAAAGTACATACCTTCATTGTCCGGCTCGTCGATCGCGCCAACGCTTTCCCACCGCGAAGGAGGGGCGCATTCGTTATCGATAGGAGCATCTGCCCACCGCCCCCGTCCTTGCGCGCAACCCAACCGGGTGTGTGACTGGCTTGTGCCTGCGTGACTCCCTTCATCATCCCATCTCTGTACAGTGTACACAGTAAGTACTACTACTAGATACTTCTCTCACTCCTCCCTCGTTGGTCGCTGCATTGGATGCGCCAATAATACTCGCCTCTCTATCCACATCCACCGGCTCTCACCTCCCGCGGCGTGCGACTATACCGGCATCTTCCCAGCGATCCCGCTGCCCCGTTGGCTCATTACCACTTCCCCAGCCACCGGGTTACGCTACTGGGCCTCGGAGAATCAAATCACACGCTTTTACTCCGTATACGCCGATCAATCAGATCAAAGAGCTGCTTGTAACTTGAGCAAAATAGAAAAAAGGTTTGCAGTCTCACATTTTTTTTCCCCCTCGAAGTTTTTATTTACTTTTGGTGGCACTCCCGTAACCCGTCCTCGACTACTACTTGCTTGTTCCATACTCACCTTCGAGCGACCGCTGATTTTCCCGACGTATACTAGTTCGCATTCCTCACTGTCCATCGCATACCAAATCATCCAATCCCATTTTCGCCTGGGAGGATCTTCCGCAGAATCGCGCTCCTTTCCTTTTTTTCACGTCTGCCACCGCCCTAGGGTCATGAATTCCATGGCCTGTCCTCCTATCCCTGCTTCTCCCTGCTGAACTTCTTTCGTCAATTTAGATCTCCTCACTTCCTCTGACATTCCTTCTGAGCTCGACCGGCTCCTATCCTACCCAATCTCCAGTCCTTATCGCAAGTGTCGGTCTGCCTGGCACCTGACGTGACGTTTCGCGTGGTGTAACTACCAATACTCCTGGGGACTTCCCACTTTCAAGTCTCCGTCGTCTTTGCAACATCTCTCCTGCGCTGTCACCTATTTGTACGCCGATTCCGTCGCTCGAACGTCTGCTGCCTCAATTGGGGCTGATAGCCATTTGATATCCATGCGCCTGGCATAGAGCAGTCGCGGGTCGTCAGACGAGTGTCGGTGGCTTTTCCAGGATGGAAGTTATGCGGACACTCCCTCGTGATGAATTTGTATCTCCACTGAGGGTACATGTCCCTTCCCGGCTGGGATTCGACAAACGTGGGAAGGAAACTAGCGACCTGTCAAATGGCTGGCTGCAGATAGATGGTTTAACTTCGGGGTGTCTTGGGTCCCGAGAATACACCACCAAGGATGGTGGTGTGCATGACGCCAAAGTCCTCCAAGTGGTGGAACATCAAAATAAAGTAAGTTCACCGTGAACTCAATGGCAAACAAAAGTACTACACAAGAGATTCGCTGTTCCCGCTGCTAATAGCTAGATATATAAGCAGGATACAATATTACGGCGAAAGCTAGGCTACAAATCATCGCTGGCTCTGGAAGCTGACATCCACGCCTTCGAGCCCGAAGGCCATGATGCACCACCGCCCACATATGACGATGCGCTCAAGGATCTACCTCCATATTACGCCACACTTGCTCCCTTAGCCCAGCGGAAGAATCTTATCCAAGACTCTGCGCCCTCACAGACTACAGATAGGTCAGAGTGTAAAGGTGTATCGCGACCATTCGATTTTGAGGCTACACCGGGCATTCGAGAACACAAAGCAGGAAAGAAAAAGAAGAAGCCGACGCCGCAACCACAGCGACAGAACACACCGCCGGCTGAAGAAAGTGGTGGTGACAAGCCAGAAGACGGCGGCGGAGATGAGCAAAACGGTGATACCGGCGGAAATGAAGGAGGCGATTCAGGAGGTGGCGGCAATGGAGGAGATGATAATGGCCAAGATGGGAACGGCGACGGTAATAATGGAGAAGATGACGAGTGGGATGCGTGGAATACGACAAGCACCAAGAAGACTAAGAAGAAAAAAAAGCAGGAGGAAGAAGAAGAGCAACGGAAGCGGGAAGAAGAGGAACAGCAGGCCAGGGAAGAACAGGAGAGATTGGCCAAGGAGGAGGCAGAACGGCTGGCCAAGGAAGAGGAGGAGAAGCGGGCTGCCGAAGCTGCCGCCGCTGCCGCCGCTCCCCCCGACCTCAGCTGGGCAGATGATACTAATGCCAACGGTGATGATGGCTGGGGTTTTGCCACAACGACTAGCAAGAAAAAGAAGAAGAAAGGCAAGGTATGTTTTGCATCGTCGCTGCGATATAGGTGATAAATCTCCTAACTTATCAACAGGGCGCCGACCCTAGCCCGCCCGAACCGGCGTCCAACGGGTTCCAAGACGTAAGCTTGAACGACAGCGCGCCGCAACTAGACTTAGGTCTGCCTCCTGCAGCGCCAGGAACGGGCTTCAACTTTGGGAGCTGGGGTCAAGATTGGGGATCTGGTGATAAATGGGGTCTTAACACCCTGAACGGCATGAAAGACGACAAGCCAAAAGAGAATACTAACCCTTGGTCCTTCTCCGGCACCAACGGCATGTCGAACGCCTCCGTTGGGTTCAGCTTTGGTGCGGATCTTGGAAGTACCCCGGCTGCCAACGATGTCCCTCCTGCTCCGGAAGAAAGCAAGCCAGAGGACGACTGGGGATTTCCCGTGACCAAGAAAGAGAAAAAGAACAAGAAGAAGGGGCTCGAGGAGCCGACGCCCGACCTTCTTGCAGAAGAGCCAAAACCGGATAACGCCTGGCCGGCTGTTAAAGAGAATAAGGAGCCGGAATTTGCTGATGATGACTGGGGTTGGGGAGCAACCTCTATCAAGAAAGAAAAGAAAAAGAAGAAGGCCGACGAGCCTCTTCTTGAGGAGCCTCCCGCCCCCGAACCTGCTGCTGCCGCTGATCCGCCGCCTGAAGATGACTGGTCACCGGGCTGGGATCTCCCAAAGAAGGAGAAGAAGAAGAAGAAGGGCGCGATCTTTGAGCTGGAGCCGGAGCCTGAACCACAACCTGATCCCGTGGAGCCGGAGCCTGAACCTGAACCAGTCGTTGAACCTGAGCCCGAACCCGAGCCCGAGAAGCCAGCCTTGGAATTCCTGGATAACCCTCTTTATAATAACTGGCTCACGCTTAATTCCAAAGACAGGAAGAAAAGGGAAAAGCAACTTGTCAAGAAAGGCCTCCCTATCCCTGGTAAAGACTTTGAATTTCCTGATCCAGATGCTGAGCCCCCCAAGGAACCAGAGCCCGAGCCCGAGCCAGTTCAAGAACCTGAGCCAGCTCCTGAGCCAGAGCCAGAGCCGATAGCTGAACCTGAACCTGAACCTGAACCCGAACCAGTTGTTGAACCAGAGCCCGAAAAGCCCGCCTTTCAAATCCCAGATAGCCCTCTGTATAATAACTGGCATACCCTTTCATCTAAAGACCGGAAGAAGCGTGAAAAATCGTTGATCAAGAGCGGACTTCCTATTCCTGGCAAAGATTTTGAACTTCCTGATCCAAATGCTGAGCCCCCTAAGGAGCCCGAGCCCGAGCCCGAGCCTGAGCTCGAGCCAATTCAAGAACCGGAGCCAGCTCCTGAACCCGAGCCCGAGCCCGAGCCGATAGTTGAACCTGAGCCTGAGCCTGAACCTGAACCTGAACCCGAGCCTGAGATCAAGGCTCCTGAAATACCAGACAGTCCTCTCTACAACAACTGGCACACACTCTCATCCAAAGACCGGAAGAAACGTGAGAAAACATTGATCAAGAATGGTCTTCCTATCCCGGGCAAGGATTTTGAGCTTCCTGATCCCAATGCTGAGCCTCCCAAAGATCCTGAGCCAGAGCCGGAGCCAGAGCCGGAGCCAGAGCCGGAGCCGGAGCCAGTTCAAGAACCCGAACCCGAGCCTGAACCCGAGCCGGTAATTGAACCTGATCCAATCCCGGAGGCTAAGCCTGAACCTGAGGTTAAAGCTCCTGAGATACCAGACAGTCCCCTCTACAACAACTGGCACACACTCTCATCCAAAGA